TCACTACTTTCTTATCGACTTTGCAAATTAATTTAAATGCATCCTCCGTAGCAGATTCAAATTGACAGTAGTCCCCATCAGGTGGTCTATATACACATATAATAATATACTGTTCAAGTTCCACACATGACAATTCAATATGTCGCTCAATTGAGAGGGATACTATATCTTTACGTTCTTTACATTTTAAATAATTACTTATTATTATTAAAGAACCCCCTCGTATGGCATTTATCCTACAGAATGAACTTATAATTTTATAATTTTTAAAACCCGTAATTAATTCATAATTTTTGAGCCAGTGCTCTGTAATACATATTATATCAATATTCATACTATTTAAACACATTTCTAATTCTAGATCTTTTCCAGAAAAGCCTTGTATATTTTGGTGAACAATAGTTAAATAGGTAGACTTTTCCTTGGTCATCTTATTGCTAGAGATTTTCTCTATTGTCTTATTAAACAATTTAAATTATTTAAATTGTCAAAATTTAGTTTTGGAACATATTCCAAAGTCTGTTTGTTTAAGTCAAAATCATTCTGCTCAATAAAAGCAGTAGAGATAGCCAAATTATTGGCTAAATGTTTAAAATAAAAAACTAGCGAGGATGCTATTTGTCTCTTAAAATAGAAAGAAAGATAATATTTATCTCTTGTCAAATATAAATTAAAGATTAATTTGTTTATGTCAATTACATGTATTTTTTTATTATAATTAGCTATAGTATTTAATGTCATATTAAATTTATATCTAATATTATTTTCCTCCTGTGGCAAACTGTTGCTATAAGGTAATGTAAACATAATAATTTTATTTAAATTCAAGGAACTTAAGGTATTGAAGTAGTTACATAATTCTCTTTTATTTACATTACCTCTGTTTCCAATTAAAATAACTAAGTTTGTACGCTCGTCAATATTTAAAGTAAGCACTTTTTGCATTAGTTGATGCAATTCAATACCTGGCATACAATAATTAATAATGTTATTATCTCCCAACTGGTTATGTAATAATTGGCCCAAGTCTTTTCCAATTTCATCACATAATATAACCGTTTTTATACATTTTTTATTGTTAAAAGAGTTATTGTCACTTGTGCTTTGTGTATAATTAACAGAATTAGAGTATAAGGGCTCACATACTGATTGATTATTTTGCTTGTCCCTGGAATCCAGGCTTGACACCAAGGAGAAAGAATTCAATTGTGTACCCTCTGATATAGAGGTATTTGATAAGCATTTCAAGGCTAGTATGTATTCCCCTATCTCTTTTTTGGAGTGATTATAATTTTTAGTCATTTTTACTAATGAATTTTGCAGGTTATTTATTTTGCTATTTAACATGTTAATATTCTCTTCATAGGTTGTCCTATTTTCATCGATTATAGAACGGCAAGTTTCTAATTTCTCTATCAATTGTATGCGTTCCTTTGAGAATTTAGAATTTTTGTTAATTAATTTTTGTTTATGTAATAGTTTTTTTGTTTTATTAACATACCTATTTAGTTTTATATATTTTCTCAATCTATTCCTACTACACTTAACAACTCCTCTTTTTACAGAACACTCAATAAAATCTTCTGTAGTCAATCCAATTGTCACTGGGTTAATGTTAAGTGAGGCAGAAACGAGACTGGGGGCACAACCAACCAACTCATCATATAGACTCTGGTTCTGAGAGGCCATAACCTTTGTTTGCTCAGATTCCAGTTTATATATGCAATCGTTAGCCTCCTTTAGTTGCTGTTCCAATCCAGAAATCTACTCTACTTTGTAGTGTTCGGTCTTCTCAGAACCCCCCACAAGGGATACCCCGTGAAGATATAGATAGAATATTGCTGAAGTGACGGCAGAGAAGAAATAGACAGGCAATATTCGATATTCCAATGAAATCAGTTTTGAAATTTATCATGGAAATTATAAATCTACATACAATATTACAAAGATAAATTATTTTATCTTTACTTAATTAATATTAATATTTTCTCGGTTATCGATTCAGTTTGCCATTTTTAAGCTACCTAATTAAGTCTAAATGAAAACATGAGCCCGTCTCATGACGCGACACACGTCCATTGCTCAGATTCCAAGTCTTCAAGTTCCAGGTTATAGAAATCTGGAACCACGAAGGCACTGCCCTATGGATGGAATCGAATCAAATAGGGAGAATGGGTAATGTTCCACCATGCGAACCCAGTGCGGATTAGTGGGTGTTAACAAATCGACTCTGGAAAGCAAACACATAGTAACACGCGAAACCAATAATGTTCTTCAGAGAAGAAAAACTTAGGATTTTTTTTTGAAAAATAAATCTTATAAAGGCCATGGTTATAAATAAGACGTTGAGTTCTAAGTCAATTTATACGAAAATAAAATATTTTTTGAAAAAATATAAAGATTCTATCCATTTTTATTTTACAGGTAAATGTAGATGCAGCCAGGACAAACGACTTAATGTGCCTTCCGAAGCATGGCGGAGTTCGAGATAATATTTTGTTTTTACTCATCCTGGGACCGGTCATTGCTTAATAACTGTATCGCAGATCGAACACGCATACCAATGCGCTATCAAGCTAATCCAAGTAAATGTTCTCTATGATAAATTTGTCCCTGCATCCTGTCCTGAACTAGGCGCGTATTAGATGCGTTTCGTTATTATATTAGTGGTTGGTAAGAAAAAGTGTTACAAATAAAACAATTACAAATCCCTCCCCCCCCCCTTGAACAAGGCATAGGTGTTAGTAAAGATCTTGTCATTATTATCTCGTGACGTTTTCTAAAAGATATCATTTGAAAGCAAGAGTGGAATTTCCGAATCTTATTTAAAAAGTGTCATGACGCATCAGCATCATGAGAGAAGTTCCCGGGCTCTTCTGGCTCGCCGATCAAAAGAAGAGAAACTTTACTACTAGGAGCGCATAACTGTGTCCTTATCTTTCTACCTATCTTTAGTACTATGACAATTAGCCGGTGATTTTTATAATTGGCTAACGTATCATAGTTAAATGATACGTAATTAAGTACAAACCTACTATTTATTTATTACATAAACTTTCTGCTTGGTGCTGTGGATTTATCTTCCAGTATTTTAGACGCCCGTCGCTCAAAATTTGTCACACTAATAGTTACTATGACATAGGAAATCGTGAGTGGTCTTCAGTGGGTTGAATAAAGATTTGAAAATCATCTAATCACGCGGCAGAACTAGCGGATGCCAAGTTAGACATGCAACTGCATAGCTAAAGTAGCTACCTATAGAGCTAAAGTTGCTATGCGTCGACGTCACGTCAGGTTATACTTTAAAGTTTCCTCGATTTTAAATTTGATTGCTTCAAATGTATAGAAAATTATAATCAAATTAACAAATTGTAGTGTCCACAGGGCGTACTCTGTTTTATATAAATGATAATAAATTTGTTATGCATTTAGCATATCCGTTTAGATTATCAGTGCGTCAGAGACAGTGTCAGGTCTTACCTCCTAAATTATCGAAAAATGAGTTTCCTTAGAGTCATATATGGATTCGTATAAACACAAACTTTCGTTTTCAGAGCAACAGAGTAGACCTTCTGACGTGCTGCTTTGTCCAAATAGTATAAAGTAACACAAAGGTTACAATTATTATATTTAATAAATTTTGCATGCATAATGCTATACTAAAAAGAATAATTAAATAAAAATGCTTAAAAATTGGCTTTGTCCCATCTCCGAGTGCATGGGACAATGTGGATTTTTTAGGCGTTGTTCATTAAGAATACAAAGGGTACAAACTCAAATTCCCTATCATTAAACATTGGATAAAAACTAATCGAAATAATCTAAATATAAATAATAACATTTCTTAATACAGGAAAAAAACTAGACATTAGAAACTATTTCCTTCTCTTGAACTTGACTGCTCGGCCTAGAAGTATGTGACCTTCAGTTACCGGTTTTGCACGCTATTTTAAAAACAATAAAGCCTTTTTTGTCTCGTAACGATGTCGCCATGAATATTTGAAGTGTTTATGAGAATAGTATTCATAGTATGCTCTCGAAATCACTTATTCTCTAGTTTGATTACACCAGAGTATTTTCAGGACAAGTCATAGCTAAAGGCATATTTTGCCCGTAACAATGTAGATTTTATACGCATAGCAATCTTTTTGAATGCAAAATAGTATTGATTTATTCATAAGTATTGTTTAAATATCAAGTATGTTAAGCCTAATATTACAGAAAAATAATAACCAATGATCTCGTCTTCATTTTACTTCATACTTTATTTCAACATAAGGAAATTTTAGAGTTAAAATTCCTTAAGTTGAATTGTACAGTGTGAATATTTCACAGCAAGAATATGCAACGAACTACGTAACTCATAAACAACAGTGACGCGCAGAAGATTTAGTACAAAGATTAAATTTAAAAAAATATACGAATAAACAATAAAAGATTACCTTTAATTTTTAGATGAAGAACTATTTCCTGTACCAATTCCAATATTTAAGGTGTTCTAGTTTTTTTAATTAGCAGTGCAATACTAATAAAATACAGTGTCGAACACGGCGCTGTCACAGCAATAGAGACTTAATCAGATAAAACCTTTTTAACAAATATACAAGAGTTAAGCAAATATTTTTATCCAATAGATGACAAATTGGATGAACTGCTAATAGCTAATAATAATACTGTTCCAACTTTAGAGAGTTCTATTTTCATTCAAATTCTTGTTTAATTGCTTAAAATATAAGTTTAAGTGATTACTTTTACTCGACTATAGATACGAGAGTTAATGTTTAAGAAACGTGATCAAATCAAAGTGCGTCGTATGATTGTAATTACATAGATGAAAAATAAAGTAATAAAATTTTAAGAGTAGAATGGTTTGACAATGAATGTTTTTAAGTTACGAGTCTTTGTATGAGATAATTGGCTGTTACAATATACATACCTAAGTACTCTATAAAATAAATCATCTTGTAGGGTCTTGGAATCGAAAATACAAACTCATATTAGTTTGTGGAACGGATTTAATTTATTTTGATGCAAGTTTTCTTAGTACGAACTACCTTATCTTTGAAGATACAATCTTTGTATGGGAGGTATAGTATTTTGGTAATACCAAAAGCAGAAAAATTCGAAAAATGATGAAAACCAAATCAGGCATTGTTTTTTATCAAGTTGACAAGTAAAAAGTTTTTAACAGATGAATATACTTTAAATTATATAGAACAAAAATAGCTTTTCAGAAATTTTCTGCATTCGTGTTAACCACAAAGCACCTTTAATTTAATTTTATAACACACTTGCTGGAAAAAAAATATAATCCTAACATCTGGTGTAATAGTTTATCAATATTTTTTTAGAAAATTAATAAATCCCTGTTCTTCTGTGAAATAACATTGTATGAAAGGCCATTATTCCTGTAAATTATATTTGAATTCACAATTTTCTGTACGGATTGATTTAATAAATTTAATAACTTAAATATCAACTATTTAAAATGGCAATTCGTACTTAGTGATCCTGAATTTTATCCTCGTAAGTGTTATTTTATCCTCGTAAGTGGATGCGGGAGGCGCAGGACCGATCGCTTTGGAGATCTTTGGTGGAGGCCTATGCCCAGCAGTGGGCGTCTCTCGGCTGAAGTGATGATGATGATGATGATGAAGTGTAATTTTATAGGATTGGTGACCATAGATTAAAAGATCGTAAGCCCGGCTAAGCCATTTGTCCCGGCTACATTTATATTCGTTAACACCTACACATAACTTTGTTAAGACTTAATTATATTAGGCTATTTGAAAATACTATCATATAAAGCAAAAGATAGAACAGAAAATGAATATAACATCAATAGGGATGATGACTGGGTAAAAAAAATGCAATTCTATTTAGTCCATCAGTCAGATAATAGAAAAATATATGATACGTATTTTTTTTTACCTCAATTTAACAAGAAATAGCTTAGATAACTGGCATTAAAGTTGACTCGCTCGCTATGTCACAGTTGAGTAGAAAACGTACCCTAACGTGACGTCATGCGAAATTTCAGCTCCATGTAACGCAGTAATTTTATGATTACGAAAAGAATAAAAAAATACGTGCTTAATATTTTTTAACACTGCCTGACGGATATACAAACAAAAATTAGTCATCATCCCTATTGTGTATACATGTACATCGGCTAATCATAGAATTAAATATATCTAAATATATCTACATCGGCCACTTTCTACTATCTAGAAAGTGGCCGATGTAAACATCAATTAGTTCTACTTCTTGGAACATGAAATAGTTTAGTTTACTATCTTAAAATTTAACCTTAAATTATTAAAGTATCACATATATACTTCATATCTAGAACTAAGTAGCTAAAGCGTTTATATTGTGTAACCCAATTATATAAAAAAGTCCATTTTCTACATTGACTCAACCGAGAAGGTTTACTTAGTAACTAATATTGATATAAAAATTTGATCATTTATTTGTATTAAATAGACTCCGAAACTACTAGTCCGATTAAAAAAAATATTATACGCAGCTTATAATAGGGTATACGTTCCGCCGGTATAGACAAAGAAAACAGCTAGTAAAAATAAAACAAATAAAAATTATAAATTATATTTACAACAGTTAGCTTAAGTACCATGACATTTCGTAATTGAAAACAAAACATTTTGAGTAATTTATTAAAGTAACTAATAAAACATAATTTATCTAACATTATTGTTTCTCAATCTCTTACATACTATGTTTTTCGAGAACTCCATCTGAAAAAATGTAATAACTTTATTTTTATTATCAATTGCAAAATGTTATTGATTTTACAGAAATATTATTGAAGATTTTATAAAGTAAACAAATATGGCACTTTTTGATTAGTAATTTTCATATGAAATGAAATGAAAATGTTTTTATTCATGTAAGCTTGTTACAAGCACTTTTGAATCGTCCAAAAATATTTTTTCCTCTACCACTTGTTCAGGACGTCTTTTAGCTGACAAGAAGAACAAGCGAAAGAAACTTACCAACTTTTTTATCATAAGTAATGACATTTACATAAATCATAAAGTTTAGAACAAGCGTATCATTTTTAATGTTTAGTCTAGAAATAACTTTATGTTTTAAACAGTTTTCTCAAATTCACCGATATAATAGATAGTGTTACAAAAAAAAAAAAAGATATTATTAGTTAATTTGTGCGTTATATAGATATTGTTACTTTCTGAAGATCAGCTCAGCTCAATAGTGAGTCTATCGGTAGGTATGCAACTTTGATATAGCTGTTAATGGTGATGATAAATAATTTCAATTATACCAATCAGTGGGCAGTATTCATCGATTGGACGATCCCATGTCTGTTTATCGCTGGTTCCATATATTAAAAAAATCGTGTTGGTGACTGCAAACACACCAGCTGCTAGGAAGAACACCGCTTGCCAATACTTTGGATCAGTCTGAAAATTGTCAAAAATAAATTTATGTCAAAATCTAAATTATTTATTCAGTCTAGGCTGTTACAAGCACTTGTGAAAGTCGAGAGCTACGCCGTCGGTTCGTAAATCTACAGCGGGAGACCTTGTACCGAGAAGAACAGAAATTTAACAAGGGCTGCTATTTTCTCCCTGTTTTATTTCATAAAGAGCGTCAAGATTGATAAACGTATCAAAACTATGAAGGCTCGATCATACTTAATCGCAAATACAGTGACATTATTTTTTTTTTATCCGAGATGGGCTCACTCTTGACCTCAGGCGTAATAACATTAAGCGTAAGGCCTAAGACGGGACGGGTTCGCCAATAAGATACCTATTCACACGCACCTTTAATTTGCCAAAGTACCTTTAATTTTTTTAAATATAAATATTTTCAGAGATCGGAGTCTCCACGATAGGGATCCTAGGAGTGTATTTCGAGAAGTAGTGGGGGTGTCACGACTCATTAATCGTATAGATGTGCGGATGGCTGAACTTGAAGATTCTGTTGATGGATAGGAGCTGCGCAGGGCGGTAGCGGATTAGGTTGGCTGCCATCCGGGTCAGATTGATATTGGAGTAAGAGGCTTGAACATGATCCTTTTAAGGTATCCAGTCGCTGCGGCTAATACTTTAGCAAAGGAGGGTGCCTACCCTCAGCCTTGACAGTCGGGTGGTCTGCAGCCCGAATTCAACTAACCTGAAGCCTAAACCCATGCGCTGTTTGCAAATGCATGTATAGAGAGTGTGTTAATCTAAGTAGGATCGCTCTAAACTGTGTTTCAGATGCGGCTTAATTTTGGAGAGTCAGCCTACCTAGGCAGGTGATAGGGTCTCCCTTTGTGGCCCTAGTTGAGGATGCCGGGTCCGGCTGCCATACACACCACTAGACAAGGTTATAGGTTAAAGCCCCACATAACCCTGACTAGCCGTGCTGGCGACCCGGGGAAAGCGGTAACGCATTTTCCATCGTTAAAAAAATTGTCCACTGAATAACTATTATTTCTAAGTTTTCAAAAGTGTAAGGACAATATTTGAGAATATACTCGCTCTTTTTACAAATGCATAAGTCAATTTATAGCCAAGTGGCAAAGTGTATGTGGCATTGTCACGATACATAAAGTCGCTTGAGTAGCAAGAAAGTATACATAAAAATTTTGAATGTATGCACGTAAAAATGTTGATATTGGCAATAAATTTCAAATTCAATTTTTAAGGCTTAAGATCAAAACTACTTACCTCATCTTTGAGGATAATACCGGCTACTAAAGGAGCAATTATTGATACTACATTAGCGGCAAAATTGGTGATACCCATTAATGTACCAGCGAAATTTGGTGCCATGTCAATATGTACCAACTGAAATCAAGAGAAAAAAAAGCAAAAGTTGATAATCGTAACTAAAGTGTGAAATATATATATATATTTTTAAATAAGGAAATGAAGACAGACATTGAAAATATAATCTAATTATCTAAACAAAAATTTTAATAACATAACCATTGATCGCATAGAATTACACAGTCAATTTTCCTTTTATATAATTGAAATTTTGTTTACATAGTTTGTAAATATATTATACTAGCTTTCGGCCAGCGGCTTGGCCCGCGTGTTCTTGTATTATACGTAAACACCTTCCTTTTGAATCACCCTATCTATGAAAAAAAAACCGCATCAAAATTCGTTGCGTAGTGAAGATTTATAGGGACATACATAGGGTTATAGGGACAGAGAAAGCGACTTTGTTTTATACTATGTATTCTATACTATGTTTTATACTATATATGTATATAATTGAAAATATTTAACGAACCACAAACCCTGTGATGTGTCCAGCATTAAGACCCACAGCTAAGATCAATAGTACAACAGGCAGTACTTTATTATCGGCAGATGACCAAGCGATTCCCGTAAGTGCAGCTGCAGTGCCATAAAATCCTGCAACGAAATATTATTCTCACTTGTACACCATGACCTTCTCCGTGATTGGATCACTCATACGTGTTTTCAGATATCACCTTTTCTAGACAGGTCAATATAGAAATCATCTTTTGTTTATTGGTATTGGTGGTTAAAGCAAGCTACTTTAGGGTCTCAGCAAGATATGTGTCTATTTTAAGGTGTTTATTATAATAATGTAAGCAATTGCCGTTTTAAATGTATTCGTCTTATATTTCATTTATTTAATTTTAATACGTTTCATCAAGAATGATATTACCTATAACTAATCAACATGAATACATTCGAATAGAGAAATAATAAAAATTCATGCTTTATCATTGTCTTATATTTCTAATAACTGGAGAAGCCAAAATGCTTGTGTTGTATAATCTTAAGTCCATTTTTTTAAAGTCTGAACTCTTTCCACCATTTGTTGGGAAGAACCATGATAAAACTCACAAGATATCTGCACACATACACATTTACTCCATCTCGATTCTTGTAGCTCGATGGCTCAGCGATTAGCGCGCGATACCGGAGCTAAATTTCGCAATGGCCGATCGTAAGCCGAGTGGCCAAAAATTTATTCTTTATCTCGCCAGTAATTCGGAAGGTGCGTTAAACTGTACATTTGGACTGCATTTGGACTGGGCACGAATGGTGTTTACGGTCCATTCTCCCTTTTTGATTCCATTCATCAGAAAAGTCTGTCCCCAGCAGGAGGGAAAATAATAGGGTATTATGATACTCAACTTACCAATAGAATTTGATATTTTTCTGGAAGCACTTAAGCTGATCCACTGCTTTTTCAAACAATAATCAAGTATTATTGCGAATACAAAACTCAATATAAACATCAACAAATAAGGAAGAGCCGATAAAACTCCATTCTGAAAATTAGAAAAAATCTACTTTATCAAAATAAATATAAAATTGAAATTAAGATTCTACCTGAAAAAAAATTGGTTATGCTCAAGGTGGGATTCAAACCCATAAGTTTTCGCTATGCTATAGCATTGTGAATACAAAATTGTCCAAATATAATATTTCAGTCTCTAAGATAAATCAATTGCAGGATTTTCAAATATTGTGCTGATGTATTATTAATTGAACCATCTTTTTTCTTCTTCAAATCTTTCTATACTATAGAACCCTATAGGGTTTCTGAAGTGAATAAATACGGGATAGTTGAAAGCAAACAATATCATACACGTAACTGATTCAGATATCTTCTCCAGCTTCTGGCGCATTAGAGTTTTGATTCTAAATTTCATTGTAATCTAAAGTATGGTTAAAGTTATTTTAAAACTAATATAAAATATATTTTAATATTTTTCAATATATAAACTTCATTAATATCAATGTAAGACATTCAAATTATACTTACCGATTTTATATCGACACCAAGAACGACTTCCATGTAAGACGGTATCTCCGTGAGTAGAGTCCAAAATCCCCAATTCTCTCCACAATGCACTAATATCAATGCCAGGAACGGTTTAGATGTCAATATACGTTTCCAAGGGGTTGGTAGTTTCTGTAACAAGTAATATTACGTTTCTAATTACGATATAAATTACCAAACTTATTGTATTTGCCTTTCAGAAATTGGGTAAATATTAGTAAATTATAATCTATGTCTTTTGATCCCATTTGAAGACAGATATAAACTTTGTAGCCTCATCAGCTAACTTGGAATTGCTTTGGACTAAATTTACGCAACCCTTCCTTTATAAACGAAATTTGTAGTACATAATTAGTTCGGAATTTCATTCATAGTACATTTAACTAATAAATACATATAACTAATAAAACTTTAAAAGTATACATGGTTACATAATAAAACCCAATGTTATATATGCCTGTTGGCATCGACTAAGAGTGGTTGGCGGGAGAGCTCGATGGCGCAGTGGTTAGCGCGCTTGGCCTGCGGTACGGTTGTTAAGCAACTTTTCCAAGGGCCGGTCTTTGGATAGTTGACCAAAAAATTATTATCTCGAGCTCCTCTGCGCTTCGGAAGGCACGGTTAGGCGTAAACTATTATCAACACCCACCAACCCGCACTGGGTCCGCATGATGGACCAAGGCCCATTCTCCCTATTTGATTTGATTTCATTTTATCCATAGGGAAGATTTAAGCCCCAAGAGTAGTTATATTAATAGGCCGACGATGATGATCATCTAAGAATTAGGACAAAAAAATATAATTTAGAGCCATTTCAATTCGACTTTTAGCACACCAGCAGCTCAGAAAATAGAAGGCTTTATTGGACGAGGGTGCCATATAATATTTATCAAAGTCAAAGTCAAAATAATCTTTATTTAAATAGACTTCCCAAAAGTACTTTTGAATCGCCCAACATTTTTTTCCCTACCACTCGTTCAGGACGTCTTTTGGCTGATAAGAAGAACGAGCAAGAAACTCACCAGCTCTAATTTATGATAATATTACCTTATATTCTTCTACGGTTTCTAAAGAATTCTGAATGTAAGCTCTTTCATCCGATCTTATTGATTTGGATGTGTTTGGTGAAGCAGCTCCCAATTTTATATAGATGACAGTCCAGATTCCACCTAGAATTCCCACACTGTAGAATATCATTGGCCAACCCCAACGATCTGCTATGTACCCAGCCGTTATTAACTGAAGAGCAGTACCCAATTGGGAACCTGTAATGAGAATTGATATTAGTACTTCACTTTGGAGCTTCCTTCATTAAGGAGCTTGAGCTTTCGTTGATTCTAGTCGCATCAGCAGTTAATACCCACCAATCCACGTTCTCGTAAGTTTATTTACTGATATAGAAAACCTGCGCACTAAGATACTTGGTGTGTTTAGCCTGATGGTGATAAAACAGAAAGCTACTGTACTTACCTGCATAAACGAATTGTCCAAGCCTGCTCTTTTCTTCGACGGGGACCCATTTACCAAGTAGATTATGTACTGAAGGAAACGTTACACCCTGGGAAAGTCCTTGCAGCACGCGACAGATAACCACTGACTGCCAACCACCCTGTAAACATTTAGATACAATATTTAATAAAAATGTACAAACGCATCTTTGGCAAAAGGTTGAAATCTAATCTACGCTAATGAACCGACAGTTGCATTAGCAACAGAAATGACATCAGATGTTATAGAACATGCTTTAATTCTGGATTTTAGTCAGCACTTTGATCTGGGTATCAATCAACTGTTAATTATTCAGCAAATTAGAATTACTGATACTCACATAGTATGCACATATAGGCATGATCATTAAGAGTACAGAGTTGATAGCTATCGAAGATGCTAATAGCACTTTTCCTCCAATTCTGTTCGCCAACTCACCAGCAGGCACTTGCAAGATAACATAGCCCCAGAAGAAAGATGAGAGAATAACGCTTTTGGTCCCAATACTCCACTCGAATGTCTACAAAAATAAAATTAACGTTTATTTGAGAGGAAATAAGAACACTAATAGAATTTTGTTTCAATGATAGTATGTAATTTTTGCATGACATTGTTAATAATAAATTTTGTTTTTTTTTATGATATATTCAAATTATTTATTTGCTTTAAAAGAGTTACAATGATACAACATAAGTATAGTTATTAGTTCCTCTATAGCGTTGCCCTTTTTTTCGTTTCCTTATTAACTCTACAAAACGATATCAGCCAAATTGGAAACTATTAGTTACAACTATTAATCATTAAACAAGTGCGACTCAAACGAACTCAACAATGACTCGTCTGTACCAAAATTAAATGGTTTTTCTTTTCACATAAATTAAATCTATTGGTACTGTCAAAAGTGTTAGGATCAGAAGCCGTTATAAATTTGATCGACGTCTTATTTTCTATCAATATCTTCAGATTACTCCGAGATAAAGAGTAAACTTATTAGACTAAAGGGCCAGCGACTATACTGCGTGATTTTATTGACAAGTTGATTTTGAGGTTTGAAACCCGTTTTAAAATTGATGTCTTAAAAGGAATTTTAAACTCATAATAATAAGAGGTTATATTTCAGGTAAAAATTAATGATTTAGTAACTTCCATTTTAATTGAACGTTAATAAATAGCATTAAATTTGCACTTACATGGACCACTTACACTATCGCCCTGGGTTTCGGTCATCGCAACTATGGCTATACTCATGTTGACCCTCATAGCGTACGTAAGCACCAACCCAAAGAAGATCAGCACTATTTGCACATGACGCACGCCGAATAATACTATAAAAATAAAAAATAAAACTGGTTCATTTGAAGTAAACTGTAATAAATTGTTGGCGCTGCTACACAATACCAAATTACTGATCAGTGTCAACAATACTATTTATAATATATATCCACTTTGTCCCTGGCATTCAGATATGGGACTCGAACCCATCACCTTTCACAATCCGGGCGACTGCTCTAACCACTGAGCTACTCAAGACCTAACATGACTGAGTTTTTTTTTTACTTTACTACAGAGCGTATTTCCATCAATGTTAATGTTCGATGAAGATTAAATTTTTTCTTATTATTATATTTGATCACATTTACACTATAGTGAGTGCAAAATAGCATTATACTGAAAAATATTATTAAAGAAAAATGGGACAAAGTGGTTTTTTTAAGCATTTTTCATTAAGAATATTTTTCAATATTTTTCATTATTATATTATTTTTAATTGTGAATGCAAAACTGATCAAATATAATAATAAGAAGTTAATTTCTTATTTTATACCTTGACAAATCAAACCTTTTATTAACCCATAAAAGGTTTGAATTGAAAAAAAAATGTTTCTTTTTAGTACGCGTTATTATAGCGGCAGTAAATACATCATCTGTGAAAATTTCAACTGTCTAGCTGCCACAGTTTATGCGATATAGCCTGGTGACAGACGAACATATGAACGGACAGCGGAGTCTTAGGAATCCTAAAAAGTATGGTGTTTAAATCAGCGTGTCAGCAAGCGATTCTGTAAAAATAAAGACCCATATACGAAATCACGCATGTGTCGAAATTCTATTAATTCCATAATTTGTATAAAAATATAAAACAAAATTTAATGATTGTACGTGTTTCAGATATACTGTTCCTATGTCATTTCGAAACTCACTTCACTTATGCCACAAATTATTATTACTAATTCAAGGTTGAGCGAATGCCGTTTTTGAAGTGGATTCGGACACCTGAGTGAATTCGATTTCGGGTTTGGAGTTCTACAGAATCGCAGATTGGTTACTATTATATTATATTCGACGGTTGATTTTGAAATCTACCCTTAATACATTAGACTAAAAACTGAGTATACAAATTGTATAACCTGAAGTGCTGTTACAAAAGGTGGAATTAATGCTAATTCTGTGGGAATTCATATCAACAGTTATACCTAATTGATACCGATTTGATACGCCCGATTACAGTTTCGATAGTGAAAGTCAAAGTAAATGTAAATAGATTGTAATTTTTAAATGTATGGCCATTCAATCATTGTTACCTAACTATGTATTACTAATACTGAGAACAGAAAGGATTATGTATTATTTATTTATAATGAAGCTCGATGACGTAATGGTTAGCTCGCTAAGTGAGCAACTTTCGCCAGTCTTAGGATGGGTGAAATACGAGTATGATTACGACCTCCACCGTGCTTTGGAAGGCACGTTAAGCCATCGGTCACGGTTGCATCTGTAGTTGTTATCACCCACCAATCCGCATTGAGCCTGCGAGGTGGGTCATGGCCCATTCTCTTGATTCGATTTGATTTTATTGACAGGGAAGGTCTGAATCCCAGCAGTGAGGACGTTAATGAGCTGGCGATTATGATGACAAATGCTGCTGTTTAAATAAAAAAAATAGTCAAATTTCTTTTACTATTAAAAAAACTGGGAAATGACGATATCAACACTGTTTATAAAAATAATCATTTTTGATGATTTGTTTTAATAGTACTTTATTAGTATGATAAAATAAGCATTACCGAGTTGAATGGCAAAACTGCCGAGTTTCGTTTCTTTTGGATTATATTTTTAGTGGGCGAAAACTTGGTTGACAAACCTGATGGTCAGTAATATTTTACACAATCAGCAACGAAATTTATATTTTTCCACCATGACAATAGTTTCCAACGGATACGGATGTATTTTTATCATTAAAGTAGAATTTAATCTATCAGGTTAAGATAATTTTTATAACAATGTTTTTATTTGTGTTATGTTATTATATATTTACGAACAAAAAACATAACTCAATGTTTTTTGTTCGTTTTATTATTATTATCATAATTTTTTTTTTCTTTGTATTTTATATAGGTGTCAATAAAAGATTTTTCTATTCTATTCTATTAAAATATCTATTGTAATCTTACGATTATATCAATAAGCAAAATCGTCTTATACTGTCATTAAAACAGAAAAATCATTTTTAGCCATATTAGGTAGGTTTTGTTTTAAATGTTTTAGTATCTTATAATAATAATAAATGTTAATAAATAAAGTATGATTGAAACAACATTTAAATTGTAAACTTGGCAATAATTTTTATTTGCATTCCACATGGGTCTACTGTTAAGTTTATGTGTAAACATTTGTTATTTTGCATCTGCATCTAAAATCAACGATTTCCATGCCTTTCAATCTCATCACAAAGTAAAAAAAGAAAATTTTGATACAAAAAAATAACTCAAAACTTACATGAGGTTCTCGATCGGTAACTCCCGAAGCAGACCGTCATAAAACATTTCGAAGCACACGTCTTCAGTTTGTGAAACATAACCTGCGCATGCGCTAGCGGCCGCAACCACAACAGTGACATCACTAACGATTCACTCGATGATCGCTTATCGATCGGCCAAGGTCGGATCGTGGAAGGTGATCCGATTTTTTCGAACGCCGTCTGTTTAGTTGTCTATTGTTTTTTTTGCTGGCTGGCAATAACAATTTACGTTTAGATTTTTCTATAGTATTTAGTGAGATTTACGGTAAATACTTTCAAGGGCATTTATTATTGTTTCTAGAATAAACTTTTTTGGATAGTGAAAATTATTGAAAAAAATTAAGCAGTGAAAAACTTACTTTAAAGATTTTCCTATTGGAGTTTTTTTAGTTAATCAACCTTTTTTTATTTACCTTTCGTTTAGCTATTTTAATTAGTTTTAAATTAGTTTGCACCCAATTTATATACAATAAAATATGTTTACCAAACACGTAAACAATATAATGGTATAAATAATACTATAAATAACTAAATTTAGTGTAAGCATTTTAACAGAAAATAATAATATTGAGTTTTTAAGTTTCAATTGTACTGCGGACGAACCTACTTACTGACACTCCGTGTGGTGTAACGGAGTTACTTAGTGGTGCCACATAAAATTATTGACATTAGAACAATATATGATATTAAATATTATATTTTGTGTAATAGTAAAGTAATTGATGTTTTATATATTATAATATAGAGGAAAGATTCGTATGTTTGTTTACACTGAAAAGGCTCCGAAACCCACTTAATTTAAAATTTCTATCACCTAAGGGAAGCTACAAACACTAGAACAAACATTTAGATTATATATTGTGACTAACATCCATCGGTATGTTGTTAAGTCTATCGGCTATCTAAATGTTTAAAGATAAGTTAGAATTTTATTGATAGGAATTATAACATGCTGAAAAAGAGAATAAAGCACCCATCGAATATAAAACAAGCCAAGCGATAGTGTTGATAACTGTTATAAAAAATCGATTTGTGCTCAACAGATAACAATATATGAACAGGTAATATAATAAATTCGGTGCTATAAATATATCAATCGATCTATAAAAGTCAACGTCTTTCATATTCTTTGCAATTACTGTGATTTTTAACTTTTTCTCGAAAATCCCGCTATATTTGTATTTTACTTACTATACTATCATTGCTTACTAGAGGTAGATTATTTGTCTAAATTCTATAATCGTATCATCTTTATTAATAAAAAAACAAAGGCAATGTACATCCTATTAATATTATAAATGTGAAAGTTTCTTTGTTTGGATGTTTGTCCGTCAATCTCGCCGAAACTACTGAATGGATTTTGATGAAATTTGGTATACAAATAGGGTAATAGCTGACTTAGATAAAAGGATATTTTATCCCATTAAACATTTCTCTAGGTATACGCGGGCGAAGCCGCTGGCGAAAGCTAGTTATTTATAAAATTGTTTGATATTCAGTAAACAAAAGTGTCAAATGCATTATAGCATGTGTAATGTTCTTCTTGGTAGTGTATATATTATTATAAAAAATATAAGCATTTTCTGAAAAGGAAAAGTTTTTACTTCTCATGTATTACGAGAAAAAAGGTTCAAATTGTTTTTAATACGTACAAGAAAAAAAAAAACAATTTAATTGTTACCGTATACCACTGATATTATTTCTACTTGAAAATTTAAGTCATCATCTGGTAATGCCATCATCAGTATATTAGGCCTTCCCTACGGAATCGAAACAATTAGGGAGAATAGTAGGCCAATTCTGGTAACGTTTACGTAATAATAGCGTGTCAATAGGATGTCAACTACTCGCATTTTGCCCTTGTACTATCTACCTGAACTCCAATATTATTATATATCTGACTCAATCGATGTGTGAGGAAGACATTGAACTTTATGTAGATAGTACAATGGTAAAATGCAAGTCGTTGAGATTCTATCGAGATGCGATTATTACGTAAACATTAGCAGAATTGGCCTGTAGGTCATCAACCACCACACGGGCGTACTGTGGATTGGTGGGTATTAACGGACCAATGGCATATCGTGCATTCCGAAGCAGGACTCAACTAAATATATCGCCGTAATTTGTAAGATTACGCATAAGAAACAAAAAAATATATGTTTTAAATAACCTACGTACCTGGCGGACAAACAAAAAAAAAAACAATCGTCATATATCCCTATATGTATATGCTTAAATCTTTAAAACTACGCAACGGATTTCGATGCGGTTTTTTTCATAGATAGCGTATTCAAAAGGAAGGTTTTTATGTATAATACAAGACGAAGCCGCTGGCGGAAAGCTAGTGTTAAGAATATAACTCATGTTACGTGTAAATGTTACCTGTATATAGATAGCAAATTGACAATTCATAAATATTGCCCGTTTACGTTTTCTAGGTGTTATGATTTTTCAGCCTTATGTAAACTATGTATCGCCTTACACCTAAAATGCTGAACACCTGAGTACATAAAGAGTATAGAATTTAGTTTTAATATTTAAATTTGCACGACGGTGTAGTGAATAGCACACTAGATCTGCGACAGTTTTGTGAAGCAACTTTCTCAATGGCTGGTCATAAGATGGGTGACCAAAAACTCTTTATCTCGAGCTTCCGTCGGCTGCTGTTGCTGCCGGCTGCATCTACATTTGAATGTCGTGAAACAACAACGTCGATTTCTCTTTTACATAATTTATTGTTGCAGGAATTATTTAGATCTCAAATGATATACAACTTATCATAATTGATACTCTAAACTCCATTAGAAAAGCCAAACTTAGCATTAATTAAATCTCACAGAAACTTTTGCCAAAACTAGCAGACCACTTTCTTGTCCGACCGTACATTACCACTGAAAACTCGCGCCGATAACCGCTAACTTGTCTCCACTGCGGCCCACCCGCTGAGTGAAAATATCTCAACTTCCCGGCGACTGAGACGGTCGCTGGAAAGTTTCAGATTTCCACTCATTTCGATAGTAATCTATTTTATAAAGTGTAAGAACGTAACAATTTAAATATACGTAGTACTGTATTTTAACCCGGACTGTAGGTACGTGATGGTAATTTATGTTCACAGTGAATCATAGTAAATACATTCCGTCCAACTAAAATGTCTTTTCTTTCTATCTAAATGGAACACCGATCATTCTTTATAGCACTATAACGTTCACGAGTGCGACTTCCGAAGGAGCTACATGACTAAAATTTTATAAGCCGATAAGGCACACCTTATCAGCCACCGCCACCCCGGTAGCGTAAAACTAAATTCTATCTATAAACCATCGCTGGTTACGTCTCATACGCCTAAATTCAATAATAACAAGGACACATTATATTGCGACTCAATATCTAGAGCTTTGGTTCATACACATAATTTGGTTTTACACCATCCGGTGTTCTAGCACCTGACCTGACTGGGTCAGTACCTCAGTAGTGATGTATCCCTTTTTTATAAAACCGGGTAGTATCCGGGATTGTTAAAGCCAAAGCCAAATGTTAAATGATATACTTGGTACTTAATTCAAGATTTAGATAGCTCCTAAATCTCCTTTGTCACGAGTTCTCCGTCTGAAAACGTAATTTTGCAATGATACATAAACGTTTGTTACATTTTTTTCATTCAACATAAAACAATCCAGAATATCTTATCCAATCTTTTACCATCAACCGATGGAAACGAAGAGATGGCTTTGTTGTAAATGCATCGATAAAATCGATCGTCTAATAATTGAATGGGGAGCCACGGTTGTACCATCTCGGCGAAGGGGATTTTATTTTTTTACGTCTACCGAACGTAAAGTTATAAGTGGCTTAAGTAAAGAAAGCAATGAGGTTTTCACTGCTTTTTTACAACTTGATTGCTTAATGAACATGATGGCTTAAATGAAAAGTAACTTTTCGGAAATTAGGTAGATAGATATTCTTTGTAATAACCAGTAATGTTGAAACATTTAATCTTTATCAAGAATGGAATTTTTATTAAAAGGAATTTTCTTTGCCTTAGTGATTCTTAAAGAATAAATTAGACTATTTTTAACCGTTACCATGTCTAAATATGAAGGAAAATACGTTCTTTTTTCTAAATTTGTTGCTGCTCATTTAAAGTATACACATACATTATCTTGAAGGCCAATAACTTTTTTCATAGGACAATTAAAGTTAGGCAGCGCCTCTGGTGTTGCAGGTGTCCATGGGCGGCGGTAATCACTCACCATCAGGTGATTCGTATGCTCGTCTGCCACCTATCCCATAAAAAAAAATTCATTCGAGGCGCAAATATGGCGTATGTTTTCCCATGATATAAACAGGACGCGAACACGTATGATTTCAGAACATTCAATTAGCTATGCTTTTACTACTATATCAGTTTATATTATAAACTGATATAGTAGTAAAACTGCTATTTTCTAATAAAAGGGATCTAATCTAGTCTTGTATGTGAACTGATTTTGTGCTATAAAAATTTGTGCAATAATACAAATATATTCGAAGTCGACTTAAAAACTAATGATGCTAGATTGCTCAAACACTGATAATCATATATTTTAGAATGTTAAAGGATCTTTAGATATAGTATTCCATTGATATCACAGAACAGAAAAGAGGCTACTGTTCGTTTCCAATTTTCACTTCACATTTATGTGCACTCTGAAATAGAATATTACAATGAAAAAACTGCTTCTGACTGATTTCACGCTAATGTCTTTTAACTTATGTTAACTGAAGTAAGTCCTTTTGCGGGATCGGTAGAAAAAAAAATGCACGTCATCTATCGTTACAGCTACCGGCGCTGTCGCCAACAGAATGGTAGTTTCGTATTTATAATAGCGGGCCACTTTTGTGCGGAAAAAGATCCCTATTGTTTTATCTTTCAAGTACATTTTTAACGATGATATTCTTTAGCAAAATAACCTGAACATTTCCCCGCTAAATTAAGTAAATCTCGAGAACTAAAGTATCAGAATCTCCCGGACTCGAGACCATTGATATAAGGAAGAATTTTTTATGATAACTTAGACGGTAATTTAAGTCATACATTTATAGACAATTAATGGAGGTTGTTATCATCGTAAAAGTTTTTCTTTCTACGGGTTGACTTAGTCACGAGTTATTCTGGAACATTGCGATAAAAAATGCTAATTTATCTTCTTTCAACGGTTGTAAGTTTGTGACGGGTTCGATGCTTTGACAAATGAATAAAAGGTTGACTAAGCTTGATTTATTAAAACTTAACAAAGAAAAACTGTAACAAACAAAAAAGGAATATAAAACAGTTCGTACAATTACCCAAATAATGTAATTAAAATAGTAAATAGAACAATTACATAACCTATTTCTGTATTTTCCGTAATAGGTATAACTTAGTAGATATTTCACGAAGATAAACGTTTACATGTCTCTCATTTAAATAATAATAATTTATATGATTATATATGATAATATTATTAAATTATCATGCTCTCGCCGGATGATTTTTTACGAAGTAACATTCACAAAGAGCGTATTGGATTACTCAAAAATTCAAATTACGAAAGGTAAATAATAAAAATAAATGATGTCGAAGATCAAAGACAAAAAGTTTACATGCGGGTACCTGGGACGAAATAAACGGTAATACGACGCACCGTTACAAGTCTAAATGTTTATGTATGGTGTTGTATCATTATTGAAAAAAGAAATTGTTATGTTGCGTCCTACGACGATGATATGTCAAATATGTTACATCCCTAATTATATTGACTTAAATCAATTAGGCTAAGATATAATTTAAAAAGAAGATTATACGATTTTCCATACATCAATTACGCAGAACAAATAGAAACCTTTGCGGTTTTAATAACGTGGAAATAATATATTATCAATGCTAGATTTTCTATTTAATATTCTCAAGTTGTTTACGAGGACTCGTCTGCATTCCAAATATGTAGACGTCGAGAGTATTATGCTAGAAGATTTCATGTAATTACTTAAACATATTGAATTTTTGTATGCATGTTATTACTTGTGTTGTATCGTTATTTACTTACTTTTTTCTGCAAATATTTCATTAAGAATAGTTAAGAATTACAACGATAACTCGATAATTAGCATGACGTTAAGAGCCTAGTCTATTTATCCCCGAACGAAAATTCGGAAAATATCGAATCGCTCTTATAAAATCACATAAATGAAAATTATCCATGCATTAGAAGCAATATCAAGTCTTACCACTATACGTGTCGAAAAAGAGAACACATGAGTTTAATTCTTATATCATTCAAAAATACATCTTATAAATAAAAGCTTAAACCTCCTAGAAAATATGCACAATTACACGCACAGTGAAAACAGTGTGATCGAAATTGGCAAATTACTTGGCATCTGAATCTGAAACCTTGTATCGAGTTGCTGGAACAACCTGCTGTTTAGAAGAAAAACCCGAAGGGTGGAGTTAGTGCTCCCTTGTATTAAAAAAAAAAGTTTTTCATTATTGCGGATATTTATCCACACACTTTAGCTACATAACGCTAACCATTATCTAACCTAAAGCGTATACAATATAGAATTGTAAACTTTTTACATCCAGCCAGCATTAAGATGGTTAGGTAAGTGTTTATATATATAAATTTGCTTATAACATTTTTTACTCGACACAATGTCCATTTATGTTAAAAGTAACTAATGACTGGACACCGTTACAGCTCAAATTACCATATTAGTCCTTCATAAATTTATGAGCAACGACTGTCGTTTTTGCGTGGGTTATTAAAAATTAAGATACGGTTTTGAAATTTCCATTGCATAGATCCTCTTCGGAGGCCGTACTTAATGAAGATAAAAATTAATGTATTAGATAAATTTACAACTTTAAGATTTGATAATGGCATAGTTTTTATTATATTTGATTAAATTAACATTCACATTACTACACTGTGAAATATTCCTAATGAAAAATGCTTTAAAAATACACTTTTTCCTCGATGAGACTCGAACCCATGACCTTTCGAAACTGGGCGACTGCTCTAACCACTGAGCTACCCAGAACCTAACAAAACTCACGAATTTTTCAAGCACTTGTTCTGCACAAACGTACGTAGGCGGACTTAATGCCTTAAGGCATTTTCTGCCAGTCGACCATAGGGTAATGTGGAGAAGAATACGTGGTAAGGTGCACAATCACAAACAAAATACTCACAATAATAGACTAAACTAGATAAGACTTTAAAATATATACAATATGATATATACATAGAAACATAAGTACATACACTAATATAAATACATACATACACGTTTAACCTTTAAACTAAACTGTTAAACTGCTTGCTCTAAAAGGTAGCTGCGCAACTTTGTTTCAAACGTATACCGAGTGGTTAACTTTCGTAGGTCTAAAGAAAGAGAGATTCCATAGGAGAATAAACTTAATAAAGAAAGAAGAATGAATTACATCAAAGTGGTGAGAGAAGGACACATGAGCAAACGGTTAGAAGCAGAACGTAGATTTTTAGAATTACTTGTGGACGAGCATTGAAAGTGGGGATTAAGATAGGAGAATCAAGGCAAGTCTAGAACTGACAAAAATGTTTGCGCTGCCGAATGGGCATCCATTTGAGTAAAGATCGATATTCAGAAACTTGATCGTACTTTCGTATATTGTAAACGAATCGAATGCAGTTATTCAGAAGACGGTCAAGCTTTATAAGCTTGACCGTCTTCTGAATTAGATCTGCATTCAGTTCGATATAATATACATCATCAAAGTCGATTATTGGAAATATTAACGTCCGCATAAGCATTGCCTTGATAGGTAGGTAAGATATTCTTCATGCAATAAAGACCTCGTTGTACTCCAGTAATTGTTATCGAAACGTTTGCTACTTGGTCCTACCAATTTAAGTTACAGACAATAAATAGCCCAAGATCCTTCACATTTTGGTTAAGTGGAATCGAAACACCATCATAGACCAAAGCATGGAAACCGCAATTATAGATTCTAACTGTCATTTGAGAGCCACCCAACAATACCTATAGACTGGCGTTTAGTGGGGTTGACAGCGACACCAAGCTTATCCGACCAGGATATAGTAGTGACTAAGTCACTATTCAATTCATCAATCTGTTGAAGGCATCGTTTAATCTATCAACATTTTCCTGAGAATATAGCTGCCAACAGCTTACAGATGATAGGAACATCTATTTCAGTGTCGGTAATTCTCGGTTTTTCACTTCCTTACACGTCTAAAAAATATTTGCCATAAAAACATATCTGAATTTACATTTAACATAACAGTTATGATGAACTTAAATACGAATACTAATTAAAAGTCTAACACTGTACACGAACTTTATACTTATAAATTTTCTGGTACCACCTAAAATTCACTAGTCGCATAATCTGCTTAAATTTCTCTCTCAATATACCGCAAAATTCGTGAACCAAGTAGGTACCTGAAAAGTTCCTCAGTTTTGGTGAAATTTTAAAAAGCGTTTTAAAAATTCCACAGGTACTCTGGAAATGTGCTTCATTTTGAAATTTTGCCTCGCGAGTACTCAACTAAGTGAATTAAAATGTTCACTCTTTCATGTTATCCATCGATGAGGCAAAGGTAAGTGCGATTGGTGCGATCACTTTCGCAAAGTCATTTAACTATTGGATCTCGATTTTAACTTATCAGAATCATGTTACAAATTTCACAATATTTTTTCTTTTGTTCTTGTTACATATTCTGTTTTGACAAAAATAAACCTTAATTCAATATTATCTTCAAAATAAATTAAGACGACCTCTCTGGCCGAGTGGTTTGCATATGTGCTTCAAGATGTCGGGTTAGTTCTACTTGTGTGTGATCATGAACTTTTCTGTATTACCTCAAGCTTTAGTGTTGTAGTTCATTGTTTCAGATTTCACAACGTATCACCAGCCCTTTTACGTCCCCACTGCAGGGGCTCAGGCCTTCCTTATGGATGGTTAAGGAGGATGGGCCATGACCCTCCACGCTGGCCCAATGCGGATTGGAGGGTATTAACGACTGCAAATGCAGCCGGGACCAACGGCTTTACGTGCCTTCCGAAGCACGGAGTAGCTCGAGATAATAATTTTTTGGTCACCCATCCCGTGACCGACCCTTGCGAAAGTTGCTTAACGACTACGATCGCGGGCCGCGGCGCTTATCCACTACGCCACCGAGCTCACAACGTGTGAATGTTGGTATTTATTTATTTAGTATCAAATAAAACAGTATGACTTCAGTTAATTTGGGAGCAACACTCGAGATTCTGAAACCGCCACTTACTTCTTAGACGAGCCTTTAGAAACACCGCAACGTCTACCTGAGAACATTCAAGCATTCATCGAGTTGAACGAAAACAACAAAGATAAATATCTTGTCTGTGTCATGTTCCAAAGTCTCGTTTCAAAGTTAAAAGCGTAACAATGTATGTGATCGTGGTACGTTCACGTGTCTGTCATAACTTCGTAATACGATGTGGAGTTCCACGTGATTCGGAAACGAAAGAGCCTCTCTTGGATAGATACCATCTACCATAGAAGGTAGAAAGACTAGAATGACTTATTCGATACTCGTAACAATGTGGTCATGTAGTGTTAGATACACTACATGACCACATAGTTACGAGTAGTTACTGATATTATAAAGAGAAAAGATTTGATTGTTTGTTTGCATCGACTAGGCCCCGAAACTACTGAACGAATTTTAAAAATTATTGCACCTGCGCGTAGCTACATCATACAGGGTTGACATAGGTATATTTACGCGTGCGAAGTCGAAGGAAACTGCTAGAAAGGTTACAGTTTCAGTTTTAGTTTGCAGTTGCTTGATATTCCTCCACTGAAAACTCTAGTATTATTATCGTTGTTCTATGTAAGGCCGTCCGTATCCATTTTTTTATCCGCTCATTTAAACATATTCATAATAAATGTTTGTGCTCTGATCTGGAGCTGATGAAAATTATGATAATTATTTCGTATGTTTTTCTTTTCAAGTTCTGAATTATTTCGATCCTAATTTTAATACCTACTAACTAGAATTTAATATCTAATATGGTAAAATACAATTACTTTGCAAGATTACTTCACGATAGTAATACGGACGTAGTCTGATGGTGATGATGGGCCAACTTACTTTTCTACTAAGTTTATGTTCTTGTGGAGTAAATCATAAGGATTAAAGGGCCTCTTCTAGTATATTTCTATGTTCTATGTCATGTACACTTTATAGTACGACTTATAACAACAATCATATATGTAGGAATATTTTGGTTTAAATTAAGTTCTGCTCGTTGAGATTATCTGAAAAGTTCGAAGCTTAAAGTACAAAGATATTATGCAATACTATAGTTATTTGTCACATATATTATGTTTATAACTTTATCAGATTGAGATTTTTATCTTGTTTATTTATTTTACAAGAACAATTTAGATAGAGTTCTATGATGCTGTTGAATAGTCACATACAAATTCAATGAAGATGTTCGTTTTTATCTAAAGCTATACATTCCGTTTATACCAAACATTTCAGACAAGTGAACACGGAACTTGATTTTTTTTAATATACTGGCAATAACAAATACTGTTTCTTTTCTTATTTAAGTACTACTCTATTCAATTGCAGATTTAAAAAAAGTTTTAGCTTTATTTCACTCAGTGATTAGAGCACTCGCCTGGCTCGAATCTTATCTTAGGGTGCCAGGGACCAAGTGGATTTTATAAGCATTTTTTATTAAGAATAATATTTACTGTAAATAATCTCCAGTTAAATGCTAAAAAAACGAAATATATAAAATTTATGTTACCTAATGTAAAAGTTGAACTTACAGAAATTATACTTAATGATGAAAAGCTCGATTTGGTTGATTCAACAATATTCTCAGGTGTAACGCTGGATTCTAAATTGCAATGGCATCCTAACATTTCATTATTGGCAGGAAAACTAAGTTCAGCTGCCTTTGCGATAAAAAAAATTAGGCAACTTATAGATGTAGATACCTCTAGGACAGTATACTTTAGTTATTTCCATAGCGTTATGTCATATGGCATTCTGGTGTGGGGTATGGCTGCAGATAAAGAGTCTATATTTATTTATTTTCTTCTCGGTACAAGGTCTCCCGCCGTAGATTTACGAACCGATGGCGTAGCTCTCGATGTAACAGCCTAGACTGAATAAATAATTTTGATTTGATTTGATTTATTATTTTTCTTAATATATTAAATGTGATCCATTAAAATAAATTACCGTAATACAACTTATTTCTATCATACATTATTTTTTCAATACGCAAGCAACATGAAATATTTAAAACAGTGTCATTCAAATAAAAAATTCAATCATTCGGATATTGAGATAACCAGAAGATAAACGCAGAATCTTTTGAATCAATACAAAGAGATATACAACAGTATATGCCGCGCCGACAAAAGCGTAACAAATTACATATTCGGAAACGGTTATTGTTTTACCATTGAACAAAAGAGGTTTATAAATAAAAAGTGTAAAAATGACATCAGACCAAGATGGTATTTTGAACAAACCTAGTGAGTATGCTTTGGTATTTATAAAGTAATGTCTGTGGAGGAAATATTATAAAAATAAAATATCGTACTTTGGACTGTCAACTGAGTTTAAAAGTTTTCAACAAGAGGGAAGAAGGAATAAATATTTGTGTCAATAACTGTCTGTATTTTACGCATATTAGAATATTGTAATCAATATAAGTCTAGTTGTTTTCTCACGACTTCAGATGCTTTATACAAATTACTTTGCAATATGCTGCTACATTTTTCATTAAAACTTGCGACATAATTAACTACTATATCGAAAGTATGAAAATAATCATTAAATTATAACACATTAATTTTACTTAATTATTTAAGTTCATCATCATCATCAGCCCTTTTATGTCCCCACTGCAGGGGCTCAGGCCTTCCTTATGGATGGTTAAGGAGGTAAGGAGGTAAGTGAGTAGCTCGGTGGCGTAGTGGTTAAGCGCCGCGGTCCGCGATCGTTGTCGTTAAGCAACTTTCGCAGGGGTCGGTCACGGGATGGGTGATCAAAAAATTAGTATCTCGAGCTACTCTGTGCTTCGGAAGGCACGTTAAGCCGTTGGTCCCGGCTGCATTTGCAGTCGTTAATACCCTCCAATCCGCATTGGGCCAGCGTGGAGGGTCATGGCCCATCCTCCTTAACTATCCATATTTAAATTATAACACATTAATTATACTTAATTACTTAATATAAACTTAGCAGTTCTGTCCAAGCATTGCTGTGCCCACGCTGTGCCTATTAACTACAGAAAAAATGATTACGTTTTCCATAGTGATAAAAGTTAATATTAATGAAGGAAATACAGAAATTAAAGGAGAGAGCGAGAGAGGGATAATGTAATGTGATACTGCTTCTCTATCACCGATATTGAGTTTTAATTTGTTGTGTATTATTCATCGACTCTAGACACAGTAGTAATCTATTTAGTTCTATGAGTTATTGAAATTATCTACATTGGTTTCTATTTAGATCTGTATTAATTTATGAGATTCTAAATTAAGATCTTTTTTAATTATAAATTTAAAGTTCTTAAACGTTCGTTCTTGTTATGATAACAGTGATTTTGTAATCTGGACCTACACCGATATTGCATTAAAGATGCGTTTATATTTCTTATCATTGATATAGGTAGTTATCTTATACTGATATCTGATTTTACTGTCATGTTTCTGACGAAATAGACTATTATCAACACGATAAGATCAAAAACTAGATCAGTAGTCTTATTATCGTAAATACAAATAGTCATCGTCATACATAATTTATGACCTCTTATGCTTTTCATAGTTTGGTCCATTCATCGGGGCTTATATTTTATAAAAGATAAAAAACGTAAGCATAATACCTATAAATTTTTTTTTTGGTGTTAAAAATAAATGTTGATCTTTTTAAGAAATAATAATAAAAATATAATAATGACATTTTTCTACATAAAATGCCATCCAAATTCACGATTGCCTAGTATTTGGATTAACATAAAACTCACTTCCTCAGTAGAACTGCAGAGTACCAGATACGGCAGCCCGGCAAATTGTATCTATACTTCAGTTTTTTTTCCAGCGTCATGCCTTGGCGTTCGGCATCTGCAAGCTCTGATGCTGTTTCTGGCGATGGTATTCGCGTTTGGTATGCGCGTCAATATGAGCATGGCCATTGTCGTTATGACAGATCCGGAGACTGATAATGTAAGTATATGTTTTGTATAAAAAATCATAATATACATGTCGGAAAGTCAGGCGGGACCGGCGGAAAGTTAGGTTGATCAACATTTGCCATCTGACTAGTGTTCGAGATATTCCTTCCAAATAAGATCGTAGATAGATCACAAATCAGTTATTTAATTGAATAAATTAGTTGTCTTCATTTAAAAGCAAATAAATCATTATTATTATTATTATTATTATCTTATCGAAATACATTAATAATAACGTGATGCAAACGGATTGCGATATGAAACGCGGAGAGTTCTGCGCTTGCGTCCGCTCAATATGGCCGCACAATGTAAAGTGCCATCTTCGAACAAGCATAGACCACTCCCAAGCGATGACAGCCGTCAATGTCATAACTTGACGTTTCGCAAAGCACCATAAATCTTGACAGATGACAGCTGCAGGTAACAGATGGCGTTTCGCACAATCGAAGCGCCTTCTCGCCGACATACATATAAAAAAAAAACACAAAATTATCATTCAAGATGTAACACCGTGTTTTAGTGGCTCACACGTTGATCTCAAGGTGTTACCATCTTTCTCGATTAGCGGTACAATATCGAATACTGTAGATTTATAGTTCTTACTTATAATTTAATAAATGATAACAATTTTGGTATCGAAGCTTTTTGAACGAATCAATCCATTTGTCACCTATCATGAGCGTATTTAAAATCATATAAATTTAAATATTTATTCCACAAAGATTACGTCTTACAATTTACTATTGTAAGTGCATATAAAGAAGCAAGAGTAAACAAGTGAGATTTGTATATATATTTTTTGCGTTGCAGTCATTCGAGTGGAGCAGCCAACGTCAGGGCGTAATCCTATCTTCTTTTTTCTGGGGATACGTTATCCTGCAAATACCTGGTGGAGAGTTGGCAGCGAAGTTTGGTAGCAAGCTTCTAATCATTATTTGCATCGCAGTTAACTCCGCCATTTCTATACTCATTCCTGTAAGCGCTGGTTTAGTAAGTATCATAAGAATGTCTTAAATTATATTTAAAGTAAAAAACATTCTTATATGCGCCATCTTTGGTTTTATATTATGTTATAATCATTCAAATGTATGAATATTATTGAAAAATAATGTTTCCTAAAACTTCTGTAATAATCTATTTGATAGATTGAGTTTGACAGATTTTTATAGAAACTTTATAGTAATCTTCTTTTACTTTCAGGGCGGATGGCAATTGGTATGTGCCTGCCGCGTGTTGCAAGGATTGTCACAAGGATTTCTGTATCCATCAATGCATAATATAATTGGAAAATGGATTCCACTGCAAGAGAAGAGCAGTTTAGGCACTATTATTTATTCAGGTAATATATTAATAAAATTGACAACAATTGTCTCTAGCAAACTGTTGCTTTGTGAGATATATGAAAGAGATGAATAAAAGATTGTGGACTGTAATTATAGGTTTATATGCAAAGGTACAAAAGTAGCCCGACAATACTATGTATCCGCGCGGTGTCTCGTGCGGTCATGGAGCGAGTGTGTCGACGTTGTCGCGGCCCTCGGTCGGTGCCGAGCTCCGCTCCTCCTCCTCTTCACCCCATGCCCCGGGCTCGCCCGCGTGCGCGCGGGCAGTGTTGTCACATCCACAAACCAAACCATAAATAAAAATCGGTGCTCTTTTACTCTACCAACTATTAAGCATTCATATCAGTTCGTATCATTGTATAAATTGTTTTGCGAATCAATATATTATAATATCGATAATATCTAACTACTTTCACTATCAAATCCGACAGTACGATGTTTCAGGTGCCCATCTCGGTACAGCGCTTCAATTATTAGTGTCGGGCTACATAGCCCAGTACTGGGGATGGCCGGCAATCTTCTACGTGAACGGCACTCTAGGTATATTGTGGACGGTTTTCTATATCTTCATTGGATCAGCGTCGCCAAAGACTTCAGGTATTATCAGTGAAGAAGAGAAGGTCTATATTGAGACGTCGCTTGGACATGTCGGTGTGCAAAAGGTAGAGAAAATGTTAGATTAATAATCTGTTCTCAATAACTTAATCTTTATTATCGTGATATTAAAAATTAATGACATTATACTATATAAAATAAATGAGATTTTTATTCTAAGGTTAAATAAAAATGAAAATCAATAGTTTATATTAGATCAGGTGATTATAAACCTGTCATAGATCAGTAGAGAAAAGTCAGGGTTTCAAATATTTCCAGAGATTAAGTTTGATTGAATTCCAAAAAAATAAATATTTAAATTTTTATGTAGACAACTATTGAAACGTGCCCCAAGAGGGTCCTGATTGTTTTTAAAGTATTGCTGTTGTTGATTAAGATTACTGTAGATTTACAATTTGAAAATAATTTAAAAAACACATCTGTTTTTGTGAAGCCACAACACGAAATATTGAACTGACAATCGAAAATAAAGTCCGAGATATGTGACAATCGATTTTGAAATATTAATAGGAAATGACGTTTAAAATTATATTATATAAAAAGTTTGAATGTGTAGGACCTATGAACAAGATCAAGGCGTAAAATTGCTTACATAAACCTATTCGCTATTATATCTCAGACTGTGTAATTCATTGCAGAAAATGAAAACTCCGTGGAAGTCAATCTGTACATCCATCCCCTTCATCGCGCTAATAATTGCACACTGTGGTCAAAACTGGGGTTTCTATACTCTTTTGACCGAGATGCCTTCTTATATGAAGCAGGTGCTTGGTGTTGATATTAAAGCTGTAAGTAACATTTAAACTATCTCTTAATAATGAAATCTCTTAACTATTTTTCAATAATGATTAAGAAAGTTCATTATTTACTTAATAAAAGGATGATCTATTAAATCAATGTTAATGATTCTAAAATGAAGCAAAAAGTTTTTAATACAGTGCTACTCTAATGAAATTAATCAGATATTGTACTCCGAGAGAAAAGCTGCACAGCATAGATAAAAAGTTCCAGTGGCGCCTCATTAAGCAAGCTGGTCCAACGGGCGACGCGACACGACGAAAAGATATCTACATTTTTTAATGAAACGTTAAATATTTTCAAATTTCCTTTGTGTAATGACAAAAATGAAACTGCAGTGTCTAAGAAGCATGAAAACTGTTTGCATATTTTCTTTTAGAACGGGGTGATGTCAGCACTTCCCTATATAGCTATGTATGTGTTAAGCTTCCCACTGGGCTTTAGTGCAGATTATATTTTGAAAAAGAATTGGCTGAGCATTACTGCTTGTAGAAAAATATCAAACTCTATAGGTAAGTTGTGTCTCACATACATGTATTGTACTACAAAGATTATAATTATAGTATTTTTATTAAAATCAGTGTAATCTACATTAAGTGTAGATTTTGAATGTATAAAATTCACAATTGTTTTTTTGAAATACATAAAGAAAATTTTCCCTGTGTATCTTTGGAAACAGGTATGTATAGCATGTTGATGTTATTATTTTCCAGGTCAATGGGGTCCAGCTCTTGCTCTCATTGGACTATCGTACGCACCTGCAGATACTGCAATAGCAGTAGCCATCTTGACAGCAGTAGTGGGTTTGAATGCGGGACACTACACTGGATATATGGTAAAAATAACATACTTATTTATAACTAACTTCGTACTAGAATCGTCCCCCTCGTTGTTTTGTGCTATGTATAAGCACATGTATAGCAAACAATGTTTAGAGCAAATTTACACTAAAATTGCAATTTTAGTATTAGTCCAAATGCATATCATAAACAAATCTACTACCTTCTAAAAGCAAATATTACTGCCGTAGAACCTCGTACTAGGACAACCTTTGCTAAGTCTCTGTTTAATAATATGAAATTTGACTAATACTAAGTAAGTACGTAAATTTAACTCCGACGCTAAACCTAGTTTATCAATAACACTGATAGGCCTTCTCGAAATACTTCGTATATTGATGAAAACTAATATTTAAGTCAGTGGAGTACTCATTGTTAAAAAGATCTCAGCGTGCAGACAGCGGGAATCGACTTTATTTTATACTACGTGTAGAAGCATGAAAGATACTAATAAGTACGTCAAATTTCGTAGCCCGCACGCCAATTTGAAGTTAACGCCATCTTCAAGGCCTCGGTGTCGATCCCTGGCCGGGTCAATGTAGTAAATTTACTGTTCTTTGTTATCTGAGTATTTTTAAACTTTGCTGTTTCAAATATTCAATTAGCTATAGCTACTTAGTACCTGAGCGATGATTGTGATATTGTCTCACGTCTGTTATTTATTTAATACTACTTAAATACATCAGTGTCAATTTGCATCAATGAAATATCATTCTCCAGGAATGTTTTAGATGTTTTATTAGAGATTGCTCTTGTATTCCACCCACGAGCGTTGTTAGTGAAGTATGTAAGTCGATTGTAATAATCTCGTTCCAACAGTTGGTGCATATCGATATGTCGCCCAACTTCGCCGGCCCCCTGATGGGCATCACCAATTGTATCGCTAACATCATATCCATGATCGCACCTCTCATAGCTGGAGCCATTCTCGTAGATCAGGTAAAATATATGTCACTACTTATTCTAATGAAACAATAATTATATCTATTGTAAAACCATAGTTACATGTTTTAACTTCTTGTTTATCTCTATACATATTCTATATAGCTCTCCAGTAGACTTATAGATAAATTAAAGACATTATCTACTTTTGTATAGTTTATAGACAAATCTGGTGACTTCGAACTAGTAAATTATATTTGCATTGACGTAACTTCCTTTTGGTGAAAGAATTTTTAAAATCAGTTCAAAAACTTCGGAGCCAATTCAATACTAACAATGAAATCTGTCCTCTTTATGAAAATTATAGATAAAATGATAGAAATTGTGTAAAGTTATTAATAAATAAACGCATTGTTTTTTTTTTATTCCAGACAGACCAGAGTCAGTGGAGAACCGTCTTTTATTTATCTTCGGCGATATATTTTATTGCCAATCTGATATTTATCATTTTTGGAACCAGCAAGTTGCAAGAATGGAACGAGCCCAGCTTAGACGAGGGCAAAAGTAAAGGTAAAAGAAATATTTAATAATAACATGCAGCGTATATTGTGAACTTAATATTTAGATTAGATTAAATACATTTATTTTATCGACTACACACAATTACACCGACAAGGTTTAGAATGACATAAATAAGATAAAAAACAGACAAGATAACAAATATATGAGTATAATGATGTTCTTGTGTGTAGCAGTTAGAAAAGGCTCAAGGCTCGATACATTTAAATCACACATATATGGGCGAAGCACCGGTTTTCAACCATCTATTTTAGCCATAAATAATAATAAAGGTATTTTCGTAGTGATCTAAGATGTACAGTATTTGTAATTATTTCGCGCTGCCAAGGATAATGTGTTTTGACAATTGGTTAATTCAAAAATTTAATTTTAAATTATTTTTAGTCTATTGCATTTTTATTTTTATGATGTATAATATTATTATATACATAATTCACATTCCTATTTTATTATATTTGATCAGTTTTGCATTCACAATGCTATACTGAAAAATCCGAGCGACTGCTGGCGAAAGGTCAAAGGTCGAAAGGGTTCGAGTCGCGTCTAGTTCATTGCCTATACAAAGTGGATTTTTTTAAACATTTTTTATTAAGAATATTTTACATTAATATATTTCTGACTTATAATTTAATCCAGATGATGTTAGTAATTCATTCATAATCTTAATGTGATTTAAATAGAATTGTGCTTTACTGCATAGTCTCTTCATGATAATACTAGGCTGTGCACCCTATTTATCGGTTGCAAGCTTTTGTGGTTTGAAATATCTTGATATAAGTGTATTAGTTTTGGTTTGTAAAATGTTACTGTATCAATAAATAAATATAATATATTATAGGTATCTTTCCAAAACTAGCACAGTAACTAGTGGTTGAAAAATTTGTTAGTCTTCCAAGGTTAGAAAAATCCAGATTGTTGTTATCCTTAAGTATTCTCCATATAAAAGAGCATTTTATTATATATAACGAATGGGTAATAATGGCTATTATAACTTAAATTTGCAAAGGTAATATGAAATGGATATCGACAATTTTCTTTTGTTCCAGAATGTTCAACTGAAAAGCAAATGAAGGCGTGATAGAGGCTGAATAATTAAAGGTTTGCTTTAGTTTGATGTAAATAAATATTTTTTAACATAACGAAAGTGTTTTGTTTTACATACAAGCCTGTTGTAGAAATCAACCCTTAATTATTTGTTAGGTCTAAATAATTTAGGTCATCCATTAAGTAATGGATAACTTTAAATTAATTATAGGTCATATTTTGGTCATTGTAAACATTATTGTCTGTCTCGTTATATTATAAAAAACGGTTAAATTGGGTTATAATAATTCCAGTGAAATTAAATGAAAATATCTTTATTCAAGTAAGCTTCTTACAAGCACTTTTGAATCATCCAAAAATTATTTCCTCTGCCACTTGTTCAGGACGTCTTTTAGCTGAAAAGAAGAACAAGCGAAATAAACTTACCAGCTCTTTATCATAAGTAATGAAATTTATAAAATCATGTCATTATGGCATGTAACGGCCTAACGATGTTTAAATCTTTATGGTAACCTTTCAACCATTACGTAACCTACAGGAGAGAACGTGCTAGATCTTAGTTTCAAAGAATAAATCACCAGAAACATTTCTCTATTTGCTTAACATGTAATATTAGTACGCATAAATCTAAAGACTCGTATAAATTAAAGTTCTTGGAATAAGCTCTTCAATATTTAACAGAGGACCACTTTATATTGCTGTGAGATTCATATTAATTTATATCATACATTCACAAGAATATTTAAATAACATATTTAAATATTTAAACAAAAGTTTACTAGTAGCGTTTAAGACGACGTTACATACTAACATAACCAAAAACAAACCATAGGCAGGAATTGAGAAATTATCGCATGGCATTACATATTTATGAAATGAAGCTGTTAGATAAATACAGTAAGCATGGAGGATGAAAGCCTCAAGACGAATGTAAACGATAGTACTGCAGGACAACTAATTTTAATTAAGATAAATTCACGCACTTTCGAACTGAGAGTGTCTTTATTTTTTCTACATATACTATCTCCTTAAGGTGAACGTCCATATGCCCGCAATGGTCACACGGTACACAATGAATTCATATCTTTGTATTATTTTGTATATCACTGAGTCCACAATCCGTACCGGCCACACCGAACGTAAATATGAACGTCTATTTACGTTTGATATGTCTACGGATTATTTTCATAGAACTACTGTAAATTGTCTATAAGTGTTCTATTAAAAATCCGGATGCAGTGGACGTATAACATCCGTTTCTTTCATCCGTGCGTACGAACACAATGGACGTTCAGCTTTAATGTAAAAAACTTTATCAATGCATCGAAGATTTAATCAAATGTCTAGTGAAATATTTTAAAAATAACCAGTGAGGCTGCAAACGCAATAACATATAATACGCCGACGAAAGTAAATCATACATTCTTATATAATTATTTTAAATTTCATTTCGATAAACGTGTTTTAAATGAATTGAAGGATAAAATGGCATCAGATCAAGGTTATATTTTAAAAAAGCCTGGTGAGTGTGATTTTAAATTAATATAAAAAACTCTACATTGTGCTTTGTAAAGCAAACAAAATCTTGATTTTATTAACATTAAGAAAAAGGAAAACCTATTAATAGTAATCATTATCATCTATCTATGTTCATCCACTGTCATCCACGCTATCGAACTCAATCTTGGGCAACTCTCGTCTAGTTTCTGCCAGCTATACTATGTAGCTAGCTACCTAGCAGTGTACTTAAATGTGAAGTCTAATAATAAAACGGAAATTGATGCTACCTGTGACTGCTTTGCATCGCAGATATGAACAAAATCTTTGCCATATAAGTCGGAATCGGTAAGAACGCTTCAATAGAGTTAAAAAATATTTTAATATTCTGCTGCCTATGCATTGGAAAGTGAAAACGTGTACAAATAACTTGGATACAACTAAGTATACCCTGAAATACTGTATGTTCGTAGTGGTATGTTGTTATTATGACCCTCAAGTATAAATACAACTTTTTACGATGACTGAATGGAGATATTAGTTGTATAAGATGGGTATTAACGCGATCAAATTTCCGATAGTTAGGTTTTTCACCTACCTATATTTCCCGACGTTTCGACCAGATTACACCGGCCGAGGTCACGGGTTGACTGTTTCTACGATGCTACGTCTCATCTTCTGTAGTGGAATCCACTTCCACCGTCCAGTTTTTTCTCCAGTTACCGCCACACAACACTAACGGAATCCCTAATCTGCATCGCAGCTGTATTCTGGTGGTCCGGCTCCGCGAAAAGTTTTTTATCACTGGATTCCACATTTTGATAATTTAAAACCATCTTCGCGATTGAAATTGTTGAGATGTTTTTTTTTTATTTCAATCACCTCACGCTCAATGGAGATAATTGCTAACATGACTTTAGTTGTAGAAATCATTGAGATTATCAGGTTAATTCTATATTTTTAAGATCTGTATAACTGCTCGCTTGCCCATTTACATGTTAGCGTTTGAGTTTTGTTAACCACTAGTTAGCACGGGGCAAGCAAGCGGATTTTATAATCCAAGAATTAATAATCCTTTAATGGTAATCGAAAATAGCCACCAGACGCTTTTTTACAGATTGAAAATGTATGTAATACCTAAAAGAATTAACACCGATATTGCACTAACAGACTGACATATTTATCGATAATTTGGTCTTTTAGTGTCACGTTTCTGACGTCTGTCTGACGTATTAAAACGTGATAAGAAGTAGAATATGATAAAAACGTCAAATCAAATATATATTTATTCGCAAAAGTTTAATTTCACTTTCCGTTGTCTCATTCGTCCGGAGTTCAAGAGCCCAAGAAATCAAATTCACATGAAAGACTTCATTATAATGCTGTGTCAATATAAGTTCATGCAAGTTTTGCTAACTTTGTTGGAAGAATTCAAATATCCTGTTTCTCTTTTAAAATGAAGACCTTTTGCAAGACAATGGATCTCATTCATGGAATGTATACAAAAGTCAAATGAAAAACTATTATAAAGAAAAAACAAACTGCCAAAATCAAGTTGTTTCCCACACACGTTGGAAGATTTATAAATAAATTCATTAAATATATATGTTACACGTCACATGTAATAAAGGTGCTGGTTTCCAGACCAGCAACATACGTGTATTTATATTTGTGGAATATATAATTAAATTTCTTTTCCAGAAGCATGGCTTGGCGTGAGGCATTTGCAAGTACTAATGCTGTTTTTGGCAATGTTATTGGGATTTGGAATGCGCGCCAACATGAGCATGGCCATCGTTGTTATGACAGATCCGGAAAATAATAATGTAATTTTTAAAGAATCTGAACTTTATTTGAAATTGGCCAATTAATTTTGAGTTCTTTTAACTACAACCTTCCAGCATCTGAATATGTCATATTTTATATATTATAGAAAGTTCTCCAGATTAATTCTTATTTCTTCTAGCTTAACAGATATTCCTTATTTCATTCAAGTTCCGAGGGTTCTTAAACATACTTATGCTCTTACTTAGGTGCTCCTGCCTGAAACATTACCAATTACAAAGTATATGCATCGGAATTCAATAACTAATAATCCTTATTAAATGTAGACAGCTAATATTTCATATTATTTTGCTTTGCAGTCATTCTTTGATTGGAACAGCCAGCGTCAAGGGGTAATACTATCCTCGTTTCTGTGGGGATACGTTATCCTGAAAATACCTGGTGGAGAGTTGGCCGCAAAGTTTGGTAGCAAGCTTCTCATCATTATATGCATTGGTGTTAACTCTGTCGTTTCTATGTTCATACCTATAAGCGCTAGTTTAGTAAGTATCATAACTATTTCAAAAGTAATAATATAAATTAATGCTAGTATATTATGTTCTCCATCCACAACTTTACGTTATGTACCTAATCGTTTTGCTTTAAATATAAACTAATTATTTTTTAAATGTTACATATTTCAGGGTGGCTGGCAATTGGTATGTGCCTGCCGCGTGTTGCAAGGATTATCACAGGGATTTCTGTATCCATCAATGCATAATATTATTGGAAAATGGATTCCAATACAAGAAAAGAACAGTTTAGGAACTATTATATACTCAGGTAAAAACAAATTAAATGTGATGAAATGGTTAATATGAAAGATTTTTGGGGATTAACAATAATTAAATTTAAATAAATTGTAACAAAGTCTTATTAAATTAAACTTAAAATGTTAAAGGTTGTTTTTTAATCAGTCCATTTTAAAGACCCCATAATAAGGTATTCTTATAAGTACAGGTATTCTTAAATATAACACTTCAGCATTTATTTTTATTCATCAGGAATACAAACAGTGATATTTACATGTTGTAACAATTGCTATACTATTGACTATACACCGTTTACATATTTTCGTATAAAATATGTTTCAGGTGCCCATCTAGGTACAGCACTCCAATTATTAGTGTCAGGCTACATAGCCCAGTATTGGGGATGGCCTGCAATCTTCTATTTTAATGGTGTTTTGGGTTTTATATGGACTGTCGTATTTATTATCATCGGATCATCATCCCCGAAGACTTCACGCATCATAAGTGTAGAAGAAAAATTTTATATTGAGACGTCGCTTGGACATATCGGTATGCAAAAGGTAAATCAATATAATCTACAGAGTGCCGACAAGATGTAATATGTAGATTTGCAAGCGTTTGTCAGATTTTACCACGTAAATAGAAAATAGAATGCGAGGCCAAGATAATGTTTACTTGCAGAAGCTGAAAACGCCATGGAAGGCTATATGTACATCTATACCTTTCATCTCACTGATCCTTGTCAACTGTGGTCAAAATTTCGGTTTTTACACTCTTTTAACCGAAATGCCTTCGTATATGAAGCAAGTGCTTGAAGTGGATATCAAAGCCGTGAGTACGATAAGGCTTCTGAACTTTCCATGTTTAATAGGAATTATATTAAATTATATTTTATTTTAAAAACAATATTAAATTAAATACAAATCAATCAATCAATTTTGTACAAATTATATTATTGCAAATATAAAATTTATAAAGTTGCCTTATTTTATTTGTATGTATATTATATTATACTAGTAATTAAATTATATGACAGTTAATAATAATTGTGAAACTTAACATTTTATTATATTTAATTTTCTTTGATGTTTTAGAATTATGATTATTAAATTGCCAGACCACTTATTCTATTTTCGATATGAAGTTCTCCTCTCTCTAAAGCGTTGCTGCGCCCGACAGGATCCATAGTATGAATCTAATATTATTATTTTGTAACATCTATGTAACGCTATAGTTTGCAATAAACATTTGAGTATTTAAATTATATATGTAAAAAATATGCTGATGTTGTAAAAAAATATTATATAAAATATAATTATTTCACATATTTTTTTAGAACGGCTTGATGTCAGCACTCCCCTATATAGCAATGTACATATTAAGCTTTCCATTAGGATTCAGTGCAGATTATATTTTGAAGAGGGAATGGCTAAGCGTTACTGCCTGTAGAAAAATATCTAGCTCCATAGGTAAAGATCAAATGTTTTTTCTTTGTATTAAGTGCCAAATAAAATTTCCAAGAAACTCTCGTTTTTAATGAACCAAATACAAAATTGGAAAAGTTTCATTATATTTTAATTTAGAATGCTAAATGAAAAGATTTTTATCTAGCAAGTTTATATTTTATTTTACAGGTCACTGGGGTCCAGCAATTGCTCTCATCGGACTGTCTTATGCACCTGCAGACACTATCATAGCCGTCTCCGTCCTAACAGCAGTAGTAGGCTTAAACGCTGGACATTACACTGGCTATATGGTAAAAATAACATATAGCTGTCAATTTTTTCACTTTCCCACAATCGGGTAACACGTATCAAGAATATCGCATTGTAGTAAACCAGTTTTGTCATTTTGTTATCCATGATTTCTAACGACATATTAACTACACTCAGCCCTTGTCAGAGAGAACATGGTTTTATGTGTAGATGTATGGGTAAATTTTAATGGACGTTTGTGCAGTATGTATTGGTGATTAGAATATTCCACCTTTTAAACATCGTTTTCGACCAACAGTTGGTGCATATAGACATGTCTCCGAACTTCGCCGGCCCCATGATGGGTATCACCAACGGCATCGCCAACATGGTATCCTTGATCGCTCCACTTGTAGCTGGAGCTATTCTCACGGATCAGGTAAAATGAAAGCTTCGAATTAAACTTCTTAGGATTAATTCCGTAGCCGAGTAGTTCGCATGCCAATTTCGATGTGTCTCTGAGGTCCCGGGTTTGCTTCCCGGTCGGGTCGGCTCTCGGGTCTGGGTGTTATTATACCTTCGTTGTGTCAGATATTCCATAATATGGGGGCTTTAGCTACTCTTCTTGAAATCTAAACTGTGTATGTGGTGTTGTTTAATATTTATTTATTTCGAATATTTTTGTCGTTACCTTTTTATTTCGAATAATGCTTAAAGTTGACAATTAAAGTATTTGTTGAAACACGAACCTCCGTAGTGGTTAGGTAGTCAGGCATGGCCATCTAGAATTTATGTTTGTTTTCGGCGTCATGGATCTTCTTTTGTTTTATGAATCGAATTTTATTGACGCCGTTTTTGAAGATCGTATTATTTTAATACAGTATTTAATACATCCAACAAGCAATTTAACTGTTGTTGCAATTTAATAAGGCATAAATTATATTCCAAGAAGTTTTAAGCTAAAGTTAGTTCAATAATGAATATATAAGTATACCAAAAAATTCAATGTTTATATTACAGACCGATCAGAATCAATGGCGAGCTGTCTTCTATATGGCATCAGCCGTATATTTTATTACAAATTTAATATTTGTCATCTTTGGGACTAGCAAGTTGCAGGAATGGAATGAGTCTAGCATAGACGAGAGCAAAAGTAAAGGTAATAATTTACAGATATAAATATGTTGTTTTTGTACGAGTTTGCTATACCTTATATTTATAGAGTTCTCAATATTTAGTTTCTGCGTGATCATCCAAAATATCGGGAAATCTGTTAATATAACTTATATGATATCAATCCCGTTATTAAGAATTATTCTAGACGAAAATAATTGGGAACGCAAATTTACTAACAAATTTATTTTTTCTTTTGTTCTAGACAGCACAAATCAGATGCAATTGAAGGTGTGACGGGTTCACTGTAATGTTAAAAACTTAAGCTTAACCTAAACACTTTGAAATAGGAGAAATAGGAGTTGTCAATCCAACTGAATATTTTTTTATGCAATCGCGCCGATAGTAAATTTTGATGAATTTAAATATTTATTATATTTGTTCAATTTTGCATTCATTAAATGCTTTAAAAATACTAAAATGATAATTACTTATTCTTCAAGGGGAGAAATACTTAAGTATGATGAATATACATACGGTTCGGTGATCTCGACTATCCATTATCCATTTACACAAAATACACCATCCTGTTTATTATGCACATTTTTTAAAAATAATAAATAATGCTTGTATATTAAATAAAGGCTACATCGTTGTTTCCAAGATCAGGATTCCACTTGCATATTTTCTCATCATTATTCAACCAACATTTTGTTTTCGAAAAAAATTTTAACAAATACATTCTTTTGAAATGCTCGAAAGCGGTGTCTATAGTAGGTGCCAGTGATTATGGCACCTACTATATTTTAATGTAAGGGTGGATATAACACAAGATTTAAAATGTCATTGGTATCTTTGAATTAATTTTGAATAACCACTTCAGATTGTTTTGTGTCTGGCCGTTAATGTATTTAATGTAGCTAGCTGTAACGACGACCGGATGCTTGCTGTATTAAATTTCCGGTTTTTTTAATTAGTCGGAAACCTTTTTGAAGCTTTTAATAAGGCAACACAAAAGGTGTCATTATAATATATTAATTATAGCCGAGTTGGGAGGTCTTCGCATTTTTATTACACTCCACTTTTACCGTTACTACACGTATAATGTAAACAGAATCCTGAAATTATTCAATAGCGTTTAAATAATCTAAATCGTCTATCTTATCTCTTAGAAAAGAAGATACAATTGATATCTGCATCAACAGAAACAATGCTTAGGAAAGAATAGTTTTCGCTTTGAACATAGGTAACCAATCACCGTGAGAATAATACATATGTTTGTATTGGAATTAAAGAAACGAATTACAAAATTGTTTTCTTCAGAATATGACTGCCAAAAGCAACGCCGATGGGCCTCAAAGTAAGTATTTTTATAAGAAATGTTTAGGGGGTGTTTAACCTTTGTTTATTTTTTTTTGTTAGATGTTCAACCTAAATTGAATTCATTAAAAATTGTATTGTTTTATCATAACTCTTCATTTCTTGACTGTTTTTCATAACTATAGTGAAACGTAATTTAAGTAGCACGTTCGATTGTTTCGTCCTAAAATTAATTAAGAGAAAATGATTTTAATAAACGTTTTCAATTGTTTTGAGTTCATTTATGTTATGGAAATCGAAAATGAAGAGGTAGAGGTTAAAATATTTACAGGCGCAAAAGAGCTCTTGTAAGTTAATTTTAATAAAGAATGGTGAATGTTTAAATAAATTCCAGCACCCCAAAAGTTTGATTTCAGTTGATTAAATCTGTAGGTTCACATAACATAATACAGCAAACTAAGCTTTTAATAATCAATTTGTTTGTGAAATGAAATATTTAAATTTTACACTTGGAATAGTTGTTTAGTTTTCATCAAATCCATTTTTACAAATAAAATAAAAGGTACACTCTAATGAAACTTCATATAAAAAATAAAAATTGGCTTTATTAAGTAAATCTGAAAACGTTTTATTACAAATAAATGCATAATGTGGTGTTTCAGAAAAACCAATTGGATTCCGACACCTACAAGTCGTCTTTTGGTTCCTTGCTATGACTCTGGGTTTCATCTACAGAGTTAATATAAGTATGGCTCTTGTGGCTATGACTGATTCGACTAAGGAAGATGTGAGTTTATTATTATTAGGTGGATGATTCAGTATTTGTCGTTTTCGGTCATGTTTTCTCATATCGGATACCATTTTATATATACAGACTAGTTCTGTGCATAGAGACTTCCAGCAGCAACAGGATTATTAGGGGAATATGGCAGCACATAATATAACGTATATAACTATATCATCCATAAGCAATATAAGCGTAAATGGATCATTAATCGTCAATGAGTCGCCCCCATTCCGAGGGGGAATTGGTAATGAGCTTTATGAAGAATTTCGAACGTTTCAAAACCTTCCATCATCTTTGATGGAATCTTGAGCAAATTTTCTCACTTACTAAGTTAGAAAGTATAAAATTCTCAAACCAATTCGTGAATGACCAATACTTCAGCCTCGAAAAAATGAGGAGTAAACCTGGTTTCCTTAATTGCTAAGGTCTTATAACCATTACTATCAATCAAAGATATTGTATCCATTCACTGAGATTTTAAAATGCAACCTGACACTAACCCTAAGTCCAAGAACGTTGTGGTTCAATTTACAAGTTAAATTATACGTGAAAGCTTCTTAGCCGTAGTTAACATGAAAGTCTCAGAGAAATTAGGTATATGAATGAACATTAACAGTGGTTAAGCAAAAATATTTTAACACTAAACACTGCCAAAACGAAATATCTCTGCTTTCACAAGACATCTGCATCTGCTCCTGATATCAAATTAGACCGTATTCATATCGGACTCGACCCTGAGGACAACGAATTTTTAATAAACGGCAATTATATCGTCAGAACTGATGCCTTGAGGTACCTTGGAGTCGTGCTCGATGAAAAACTCACCTTTAAACAGCACATTACCGTAACATCTGGTCGGGTTCGGAAGATTATTCACATTATGAAAAACCTTCGGGAGGCTACAGACGGGAAAACCCTCAAGATGGTTTACATGGCTCTCTGCCATTCTATAATTAATTATTGTATTCTGGCTTGGGGAGGAGCAGCCGAAACCCACCTAATTTCACTGGAAAGAGCCCAAAGAGGCGTACTAAAAGCGGCTCTCTTTAAGCCAATACTATATTCAACCGTCGCACTGTATGAACAAGCCAAAGTCCTTAGCGTCAGAAAACTTTTTCTGGTTCGGGTTGTGACCCATATGCACAGAGTAGTATTAACATCAGAATGCTATAAGGAAATGCTTAAAAAACGCGTCTTTAAAATTCCAATACCTCTTACAAAAACAACTTTTTCGCAACGTTTTGGCCATTTTCTATTCCCATATATTTATAATAAACTTATCTCTCGCTGCGATTTTAGACTTGAAGCCGTTCGAAAAGCAAAGTATCTGGTTACTAATATGCTTCTGACATGGACTCACGGAGACACAGAAGATTTCCTGAAAGTTACTAAATGAACCCAATAATACTGCAGTATAAATAAGTCGAGATAATCACCAACACCCACACGCACACACACACACACACACACACACACACCCAAACACTTACACACACATATACCACACCCACACACACACGCACACGCGCCCTATTTCGTTTACCTTTTCATTGTAACATTATTAAGATTTGATGTTTGTTTCTAGCTTATTTTCTTTTATTTTAATTTACACGCTGTAAAGTGCCGTTAACATTTGTAATTGAAATCGATCACTGTTGTTCCCACAGGCCAGGCCTTGCCTAGTGTGGGTACCAGTATATCACAAATTTGTAAATGTTATCTTGGGAAATAAATATTATTATATATTATTATTATTATTATCTCATTATAAACAACAAAATATTGTTTCGCGAGACCCCGGATGTTGCTGCTAAATGTGAATACCGGTTTCCTTGAGTTAAGCACGGTGTAACTTTTGTGCATCGCGATGAGACATGACTACATACACTACTGTGACTTTAATTTGCCCTAAACAAGATCTGGTTAAAGTTAAAAACTGAATACAAAGTTAAAGCAATTTTATATTGAACTGCAGATTACTCCGTATTTTTGCAATAAAACCTGTTTGCCTCTGTCGTTGCGATACTCCCTTTATGATTAAAAATTTGAATATAAAAGTGCGTGCTACTAAGATTGTATTCGGGGCGTACAACTTAGATACGTTACTAGATTACATTATTAGTTTGTCTTTTAATTAATTAAAATCTCCGATTATAATTTACTTACTATCAGAATTGCAGGGGGTTTTGAGTAATATTAAATTCACTTTATATGAGTATATTTTAATTTTTTTATGACGTGATTATTCGCCCGTATGTTTATATTTTATATTACAAACCTTCCCTTTGCATCACTCTGTATAATGACAAAAACCGAGTTGAAATTTTTTTGTGTGGTTTAAAAAACCACAGCGGGAATCCACTTTGTTTTATGTACGGGTCGAGATAAATAAATATATCACACTCATGCTGGTACAACTTGTTTACTAATAAGTTTTACGGAAACAAAATAGGTTTTACCAGTAGATGTAGATATTTCAACAATCATAACAATGTCATTCGCCAAATCATTATCATCAAAATTGAAGTGCAAATGATAAAAAATGACAGTATTACATGTTTTTTATCTGTATCGATACTTGTAATGAATGTTATGTAACCGTGCTATATTTTTGAAAGCAATAGAAACTTTAAATAATCGTATAAGGTGTGTTGTTTATACGATTATTTAAAGTTGGTACTAAAATTTTTTAACAGTTAATAAATATTAGACAACGTCACATATATTGCTCCGATTCAAAATAAGCAGCTAAAGCACTTGTATAATGGAAATCTGGAATGGAATAACAACATCCAAAACCAAGACAACAAAGAAAAGTTAATTTACTTGACCGGGAATTGGAATAGCGACTTCAAAGATGGCGACACCTTTGCTCTTATGGGAAGCTTTGATTGCTCAAACTTAATGTTTAGAATAATAAATCCATGATGTTCAGTTTGCAAGGGAGATTCTCAACCATATAACTAAATGATAAATTGTTATAATAATGTTCTGTTTGTATTTATTACAGGCGTTTGATTGGTCAGTGAGTTCCCAGAGTACAATTTTATCGTCTTTCATGTGGGCATACGTGATCAGCCAGTTCCCTGGAGGAGAGTTGGCTGCCAAGTTTGGAGGAAAGCTCCTTCTTGTACTATGCATTTCTTCTAATGTTATCGTATCATTTCTCACACCAACATGCGCCTACTCTGTGAGTAATAATAATAAGCATTTTTTTTTTCACACAAAATCTAATGGCATTATTACAAATAAAATATGATAATTATAACACAAATTATAAAATAATTTAATTTATAAAATATATATAATTAGTAATTTAAGATAATTCGTGCATAATGATCTAATCCAATTAATTTTTGTTTTGTATGAATCCCCTTTCGATAAAAGCCTCCTCCAAGTATTTTCATTTGTTTTTGTCTTTAGCTGTAGTTAGCCAGTTTCGGTCTGCTGTTGCCATTACCTCATTTGCCCACCTGGCACTTGGCCGGTCTCCATTTCTCGTGCCTTGTGGTCCACGCCATTTTACAGATTGTACAGATAAAACGTTAACTTTATATGTATCATAGCATCTCTTTATTTTTTATTTGTAGTGGTTTTCGAGTTTTTGAAATGGTGAAAAATCTCGTTTAAATTATGTGTTATTTTTGGGAATATTCATCTGCTTTATAGTTTTTGTGTGTTGTTAAAGTTCAGGAATATAACTTATTTAGGTTGTTAAGATACATTTCCTGCTCTTTTTCGAAGATACTAGAAAGAGCATTCTCTCGCAGCATTCTATTGACTGAGGACAATACTTTATATTTAGAAAATAGTTGTGATTTCGTCGACGTAATATAGTTAATCTCATTCTTTGTATTTTTGTCCTTCGTTTGTTTTTAGTTTATACTCGTTCACATATTGAATCAGTTTTTCTCCTCGTATGCTTGTGCTTCCATGTCCATATATGGACTATTATTGAATATGGATTATGCCATATAATATTATTAGATTTTTCAGTTAATTCTAATAGTAAATATCTAAAGTTAAAACCATCGTGGCACATTAAATATAAGACAGATATATCCCAAGCAATCCGTAGCGTATTGGATCGCATGCAGCAAGAGCGTGCTTCATAGGAGCGGTCGGTGTATACGTTGGGTAACGCAATTAAAGCTGCACTTTGGAGCGCGCGATCCCATATTTTGTTGCTTGGCGCGTACGGCGAAGATTCAATTGCAGCGACTACACCAAACGTTTTGCGATGCATGATTGAATTGTGTGATTTATAGGGATCGCTTAGTTTGGATGCAGCTATTGGTTAAATAACAATATAAGCCACATAAATTACTAGCAAATGAGCCAGTTTACTTAATATTATGGGTTGCCTAACATCGTTTGGATTGTCAGTTTTTTAAAATTTTCTCTATAAACTTCTAAACTAATACAGTAATGGATAAGCATGTGGATCTATCTACATCTGCGTTCTATATTTCTTGCAGAGTAGACAGAACGGACCAAGTGCCACATAAGTTACATACATCTTTCGCCTCCTCCACTTTGAGAAATCTAAATAATAAATAAACTGTTTTATGGCTTTCCCACATAAATCTTGTGAAAATAAGGATAACAGAAACATTAGTAAAATATAAGATCTATGAACTAAGTGAACTTACTTTATTCTTTAATCAAAAGTTTAAGTAAATGAATACAAACTAACACCTTTTATTAAATTCATTTGACAGGGTGGTTGGCAGCTTGTATGTGTTTGCCGAGCCATCCAAGGATTTGGTCAAGGAGTGCTAATGCCATGTATGCATAATCTCATCGGTAAATGGGTACCGTTAGAAGAGAAAAGTCGCCTAGGAACTTTTGTATATGTTGGTAGGTATTAATCTTCTATTTATTAATACATTTATTATTATCGATTTTATTTGTTTTAATTAAAAAATAAATGTTATTTATTCAGCTATTTAATGAAGAAAGCCATCTAATACATTAAGTTCTCAATATTTAAACTAAGAGCGAATCATCTCGCTTTTAGAGAGTTTTGCAATAATATTAAATTTTCAAAACTACAGACTTTTTATAGGTTTCTGTATACATAGAAGTGGAACTATATCGTATATTTATCAAAAAATTTCGTTAAATGGTTTCGGAGATTAAGGGGATGAGAATAGGCAATCATCCACTATTTACATAAATAACTTCAAAACAGTCCTGAGGTCCCGGGCTCGATTCCCGGTCGGGTCAATGTAGAAAATGATTTTTTCTTTGTTGCCTTGGGTCTGGGTGTACCACTGTTGACTCAATTACTCCATAAATAATAAACCCCCGTAGTTTAAGCTACTCATCTTGAAATCTGAGCAATGTATGTGACGTTGTTTAATATTTATTTATTTATTTTCTAATTTACCCCCTAAAGAGGCCGCCGTGTTTGAAATTCATTTATTTACGTTGTACGACCATCTTTAAGTCACCGAAAAATGAATAAATAAATAATCTATGTAGCAAATATTGATTCTATCGGTGTAATAGTTACAGAGAATACTGTCTGTAACAGACTGATGGACAGATCTATCTATCTCGATCCTATAAAGTTTCATTTTCCCTTTCTGCACGGATACCTAAAAATATATTTATGTTTACGCCAATTCTAAATTCTCCACCCAGAAATTTGAAATTATTGTTTATTTTAAGACCTAGCAAGTGGTCTAGTTATATAATTTCATACTCGCAACAAAATCACAAATCTACAAATCTGCTTCAGGTGGTCATTTCGGGATGGGCTTACAGAATTTCGTATCAGGATACATAGTTAGCCGTTGGGATTGGCCTGCTATATTCTATGTGAATGCCGTTGTTGGTATAGTTTGGCTCATTCCCTTCATTATATTTGGATCTGACTCACCATACACGTCCAGATGGCTCAGCAAAGAGGAAAAGGATTATATTCTAACCTCTTTGGGCCAAACCGGTGTGCAAAAGGTAAACAACTTATTGTTTTAGGTTGCCATTTCGGGGAAAGATTTTAGAAATAAGTATCAATTTACAAAAAAAATATTCAAATCAAATTTATGTAGGATATGAAAATAAACTTGGTTTATGATATTTGTAAAAATTATTGTCACCATTTTTGAAATAGTAGCTACTTATAATTGGGTGAACTATGAATAAGCAGGAATGAGGGATTATGTGTCCTAACTTTATGTGGACTCAAGCTTCGAATAATAAATTGGCTAAAAACCCTTTCTCAATAAACAAACCAGTTTTTTTTTGGTAAAATTAAGTAAGATAACGTCAAAATTAATATAATACGCTTATTGCAGAAACTTAGAACCCCATGGAAAAAGATGTGGACTTCTATGGCTTTTATATCGTTGATAGTAGCGAATTGCGCGCAAAATTGGGGCCTTTGGACTTTGATGACTTTGATGCCTATGTATTTGAGTCAGGTGCAAGGGGTGGACATAAAGTCAGTGAGTTCTTGATGATGTTTCATAAAGGGTTTTTCTTTTTGGTTAATATTTTGGGCATAATTTTAAATAGTATTAGTTTTGTATACATTAAGTTAGTGAGAACAGTTTTTGATCGTAAATTAGCTTTTGCCATTATTGGTAATTTATTTAGTTGTCCCTATTTAAAGAGTGAGCTTTTATTTTCAGAATGGTTTGATGTCTGCCATACCTTACCTGGGAATTTTAATTATGAGTTTTCCATTTGGCTATATAGCAGATCTTGTGATAGAGAAAAAATGGATGAGTTTGACTGTGACAAGAAAGATCTTTAATAGTATAGGTAAGATTTTTATAAAAAAATAACTCATTGTTGATTACTGGGTCCTTTGTATATTTAAAGGTGATTAATAGTTATTTAATTGTGACGGTTTTAACTTTTAGGTGCCTTCGGTCCTGGACTTGCCCTTATTGGTTTGTCCTATGCACCTGCTGATGTTAATATTGCAGTGACGCTGCTGACTCTAGTATTGGCACTGAATGCTGGACACTTTACTGGATACTTGGTAATAAATTTTATTATTATTTAATATAAAATTCTACCAACTCCTTCAGCTACTGTAGTTTTCTCAAAAAACGGCGTCGTTAGAAGTTCATGGTTTTAGATAGAAACTTTAAAATATTCGCCAGTCTGAGTAACATTGCAAAAAGTAGACGTATTGGCTGTATCTCTTCTCAATACATTATCAATAAGTCTGTGAAAGTGTCCGAGTGACCTTAAATATTACACAAGCAGATAGACACGTGGTGTGCCTTAAAACTATGTGAAATTCTCATTATTCTCAACCCAAATTTCAAACCCAAGTGGAAACTTTTAATATGTCATGTGATAATATTGAATTAAACACACATTTATCAGATAACATTGGCAATACGTCTGAGACTGAGTCTAGAGAATATAAGTCGTTTACTGGACACCATATTGGAATCATCATTTCAAAATGTTGAGTCAGAAATTCATTTTGACTAAATTACGATAGTAAACGAGACATCGTGGATATCGTACTTAAAGATGTGACTCCAGCGATACATAGCGTCAAAGAAGAAGTCAGAGTAACAACTGATGTGAGGAACAACGAAAACTTCAATCAGATGATAGAAACAGTTAACATGATTATAATGTTTATTTCAAAAAGTATATAGAAAAAACCGGAAAAAATAAACTACGATAATAATATAATTGTTATTATATAATAACGGTAATACTAATTCTGAAGTTCTACATGTGGCATAAGAAGTGTATTCGACTCGGATAAAATTTGTAAGGCAAACTTTTAATTTTCTTTTTGATGCTTTATTCACTATAACTAAGTTTTTGCTCTAGCTAGGTCACATTGATATGGCTCCAAACTTCACGGGCACCATGAGTGGAATTACAAATGGCTTCGCTAACGTCCTGTCTATATTTGCACCTTTAGCCGCTGGTTTCATTTTGAAAGATGAGGTGAGTTCTAAAAGTTAAACTATCAATCACTTCAGTTTTAATGGATATGATTAAGAAAATTATATGATTTTTAATTGTGTAATATTACGTACTTTCGAATAATAATAAAAGTGAGCACATGGCAAGAACTAAAAATCATCACCAAACTACATTTTTTTATTAAACACTATAATTAATTTGAATTACAGTTTATTATTTACATCACGACTCGCTTAATGTTGAATCTAAACTTAATTACAAAAAAACATAAGTGAAGGTTCTTAAACAATTTTAGTTACTTCATATTGGCATTTGACAAATATGAAGAAGCCTTCAATACGATATTTCTTCAGCCATTATAAATGTATTAATGTATTTTTTTAAATTTTATAAGCTTTTTATTAAAAATAGTTTTTTGGTAGCTATTTTTTTTTATCTTGAGCTCCTCCGGGCTTATATGAATGTTGCATGTTGTTGCAGCGGCATCTGCAATCTCGATAACATCCACAAATCCGCACTGCGCCATGGATGATCATGGCTCATCCTCTTTATTTATAATAATAATAATTTAAAATTTGTAAATTTTTTAAATTATATTTAGAAAAACTGCTATAGTCTTATCTTATGATAAAATTTAATCGGTTTCCGTTGTGTGTCCCTGTACAGACGAATCCTGACGATTGGCGCAAAGTATTCTACTTATCTTCAGGCCTGTATATCGGCTGCAATACATTTTATATCATATTCGGCAGCAGCAAGAGACAGAAATGGAATGAGCCTGAAGAAGAAAAATCGGGTCTGTATAATAAGATTATTGTAATAATTATATAATTTTATTTTAATCGATAAAATCCACTATTGTTTCAGATCCCGTTATATGATACCTAGAGCTATTATTTTTAAAAATAAAACATTTACAAATAACGTTTTTTATTACGAAAAGTTAATTTTGTTTTCTTACGAATTTAATGAAAAACTAAAAATAATAAGACAAACACCAAATTTTTAAACAAATAAGTTAAATTTCTCGCGTTTAAGATATTACTTAAGTCCGTAATCAAAAGTTAATTATCAATTTTTGTATTGTTAAACATTTTATTACAATTCTCGAGCTTATGAATCGAACGCGAGGTTTGGAATAATGCATTTTAGGTTCCTCATTATAAACTAATTCTATTTTGGCAGATTAATGATCTATATTTTTTACTGTTCGATTAATGGATATCATTTGAGTAGTCTCATCGGCCCACTTATCTGAAACACCACTCGAAACTGATGGATAATCATTTTTATCGAGCAAAATGCCGATTAATCACAGCTAACCTTAATCGGCCAGCCTTCACTACTATTTAATGGCTCTATTACACAACATCGCCGAACCTTCGAGGGTTTGTTGGACCTCTATCGGAGATTTATTTTTATCTCAGATTTGTTTGATCTTTGACCGTATATTCTATAACAGATATTTATATTGGCAGAAATTCCTAAGCATATTATAAGCTTATTGTGTCGTAATATAACAATATCTCAATTTTATTTTAGAAGTACCGAGTCTTGAAAGAAATCTTTATTATTTAACAGAATTAGATGGTTTTTAATATACTTTAGAAAAGGGTTTTCAAAGTTTTTGTGTATGTTTCTTCAAAACTTCGTTCTTGTGAATCACATTTGTTATCGTGATGTATCTTTTTTTTTATAGTTATAAAAAGATTATGGATTTTTTAAGTTTTAATGACGAAAGTTTAATTTGGAGATAAAATCATCTGAACACAACAGCATTTCTTTTGAAAATAAACAAAGTATGATTTTATTTCTTATATCAACAGATAAAAATATACTTAATCAGTTTAGAGATTATTTTTTATTCATATCGGTTATGACAATTCAATTTAAAACGTCACCCAAAAAATACCCAAAGCGTCACATAATCTAAACCTACATATTAAATAAAATTGACCCTGTATAATAATTAATATTATACTTTTTATTTGCTCTCATGAATTAATTACAAATGAATATAAACATAAAAGTAAGAGATATATACATTTTAATACTCGAAACAGTCTGCAATAAGACATACAGATCGCATGTAGCCAGGATCAAAGTCTTAACTTGCATTCTGATGTACGGATGAATCCAAGTGAATTTCTTTATCAATAAAAGTATTTCGTCAATAAAATCAATATGGTCGGTGCATGTTTGACGGAAGATACGTGGCGTCTTATTCGTCGCAGAACTTAAAAAAATAAATGAGATCTAAAAAGTAACAAATGGGTTGTGGGTGGCTCGAAGGTTGCAGCGGTCACTTTGCGAAAAGTCATGGGTTAAGGTCCCGTCCCAGGGTGCCAGGGACAAACTGGATTTGCAAGCATTTTTCATTTAGAATATTTTTCAGTATATTGAATGTGAACGTGTGAATGCAAAATTCATCGAATATAATAAATGAGATTAATTTCGACCTTGCATACTCGACGGAAATCGTGTACTAACACAGACATACTTCCGTCAGGCGCTTGATATTGACATTGATAGCACGTATATTAGATACACATAATATTAGATGAGCCTCATGATCGGTCAATAAACTTATGTCTCCAGTGAAGACTGAAAATGTAAACTTTAAAGTAAGAGATTTGTATGTTTTTGTGAACAAAAAGTACGAGTAAAATAAGATATAACTCGAGTTTTCTTCATGCATTCGAGAACGTTGTAAACACAGTTTAGATTTATGCTTAGCTAAAATTTATGTATCACATAACCTGGCCTCGAATTCCCTAAGTCTCGCTGTATCTTCTTCTTAAGAATCCTTTTAGCAGGTTTGAGCTTTTTCCGGTGTTTTCTTACAATTGAATTAAGGTACCTTCCTAACTGAAGTAACTGTTAAGACGTGAACCTAACTTTTTTTAAAGTCTAGAAAATGCTTCTGGTACTGTGTCTGTTACCTGGCAAGCAACAGAAGGTGAGTAACACTCTTCTCCGTGAACCCACCAGGCAGAGCGTTGCCCAGTGGGTCCTCGGAGGCCAACCCATCAAAACCCCTACGATACCACCTCTCGTTAGAGATGAGACCCGGGAAGCCGTGCCCATATCACTAGGACACTCAAGTATTGGACCATTGCACTATGGAATGTCGTAGAACAAAGGCTTATTAAAAATATTTTTTAACACCCAACAAAATAGAATATTAGGAATGCTATTTTACTGATGGAAAGTCAAAGTTCAATATTGAATAGCCTTAATTTTATCATATATAGTATAAGTAATTATTTTCACTTAGTAAAGTTTAAATTTTATGCAGTTGGCAAATATTACATTCTTAGTTTACGATTTCGTGAATAACTTGGAGTGAAAATGGGTAACCAAAAAATTATCATATAAAGGCCTGAGCCCCTACAGTAGAGATGTAAAAGAGCTGATTATGATGATAGTATATTAAAGACTAAAATTTTATAAAGCATTTCACACGAGTTTTGGGCAAATACAATTTTCAAAATTGATGTAACTTTTTTATTTATGACCAGATTGAAATAAAATATACAATAAATGTTAACGGAAAATTACCACAATACAATAGTGAAAACTGCATTCAAATCGGTTCAGCCGTTTCTGAGATCAATTCAGCGCGCACAAACACACGAATAGGAAATAATAAGCTTAAGAAAATCATTGTTTTGAGTTCTATTACGTTTATAAGTGCACCTCATTATAGTTTTTTTCATATAATTTCAATGTACAGACATCAATTAGTAAAAGTTTTTATTATATAATCATTACAACTTAGGGTTCGAGATAACAATTAATTCAAAATCCGACTTTATTGAATACAATAAAATTACAAAAATAATCCAACTACAAAATTCACACATCAACTTCTGTATTTCACGTCACTAATGACACTTCACAACACTATTAGACCATTCACCGCTCTAGTTTTTGCTTTCGATCGCTTGTTCACTAATAACTTATAAAACAACGACTATCATCAGAACCAGGTTTAAAACCATCATCTAATCAAAATAAGACTCAGTTTGACGTTTTCTCTTTTATCATTGTAAAATTGCTTTAGGCGGGTAATGGTTTAAACAAGTACCAACTTTACTTCTGGTTTTCTTAAGACAGAAAGATTAACTGGATACATTAAATTAGCATAATATTGAAAAAAACACTGTGTTGTGCGTATTTCCGTTAAACATTCTCACGGTTCCTTTATTATTCAATTTACAATAATCTTTATTATTCAAGTTACTCCTTAGCCATGTATCATATATGCGAGTAGATAAACATAATATCCTAAGGGGTTACTGTAGTAGGTGAATGTCGATATATCAAGATAAAGCTTCTTCAAATAGTAATCCAAATTTAAGCTACATACAGAGGCTTCGGGCAGTACATGGCATAGATTTTAGACTATATAAATATAACAAAAGCCGCCGGGAAACTTCATGATATATTACCTGTTTTTCGAGAGGATTTACTGAATAATCAGATTAACAAATTATTAAGGTATGAATAAATGAAAACGTCATTGAAGTCATGTGAGACAAGAAAGCGCAATTGCTGTATGAAGTTCTAAAAAGAAATATATGCTCTTTGAAGCACATGCTTCGTATCCTGTGTCTAAAGAGGTAATAAGCCCACCTAATAGACTTTCCACATTTACTCGTCGTCCGTGTGAAGTAACGGGGTATATACCTAACGACAATAAAAACGAGATTACGCTTGTCCCGTTCCCTCTGCAAGGGCTCAGACCTTCCTTATGGATAGTTAAGGAGAATGGGCCAAGACCCTACACGCTGGTCCAAAGCGGATTGGAGGGTATTAACGACTGCAAATGCAGCCGGGACCAATGACTTAACGTTTGTTCCAAAGCACGGAGTCCAAATAACGAAATTTCAGACAATATAAAAAAGTTTTATCAAAATTAATCTGAAGGTCTGCCATGTGACATAATTCATTTTGATTCAATCCTATGTAAGTGCAATTACACTGTAGACCAGCAGGGCTCCCGTGGTAGTAACAGCATTGTGTAATTATGTAGATAGGAAATCTAGTGACAGTTCCTTAGCTGTCATTAGTAATTTCCTATTACGCTCTTAGTTGACTTACATCGGTTCGTTACTCAATCGAATGACGACATCTACCGGGAAAAAATACCTTAAATTGCCGCATAATCTCCAGACCTCCTGGAGAGAGAGATTAGAGACATGAAGGCACTGGCAGCGTTTCTGATGGCTGGCTAGCTGGAATAACTTTGGATACATACGCTCCACTTATACGCATATAAGTGGCGCAACAAGCGCAATATTGACGTTGAGTTGTGGAGAGTTCCGTAGAAAGAAGAAGGATTTCAAAGACCTAATTTAAATTGCGTAATTGGCAGAGACACAGTGATTAGGATTTTGTTTTATGAATATACCGTAACTTCCCAATTTATTATAATCAGGGGCTGGTATTATGTTTTAAAAGCATAATGATGCTATGTAATCCGTTCATCTAAAATTAGAGTTGAGTCTGGTATTAGCGACATTTTTTGTCCATTTAGTAAAAAGTAACGTTAAGCAATATCGAATTACTTTGGTATTCTCGGAAATTAATGATGTCCCTAATAACAATTAAAGTAAGTTCATCGTTGGCCCATAAATCATTAATGGGCGCGAAGAGCAGAAATGCTACATTGTCACAAAAAACACACTCACTTATAGAATGTGTTTTTTTACACTAAATGTGGTTTAAAGAGAGATTTGGTTCGTCAATTTTCGTTTTTTGATAGATCTTCTATTTTGAACGGTGACGCTTTAGAAAAAAATGTCGAAAAATTCTATTTTAGTTTA